GTTACCATGAGAGCTACTGATAGCATCCATCTGCAGCCACTGGAGGGGAGTGGCCACACCACCGGGCAGTCGACAACGGATCATGAAGCTGTAAGCAGGCTCAAGACCCTGGGCCTTGCGCTCGTCACGGACATCACGGTCATCCTGCATGTAAGTACCGTGGAACTTGGTGAGCTGCTGGTCACTGGCGGAGATAGCACCAGTGGTTTCATCCAGCAGTCCCTCGGCGATGGTACCACGCAGGTAGTTGGACTGGATCTTGATATCCTCGTTGGTCAACGGCGCAGGCTCCTCCGGCAGACCTTCGACCTTGTCCACACCCAGAGCCTGCCAGAGACGAGGCTCCCACTCGGAGTAGCCGGTCTGGAAGGCATCGGGATCTTGGTCATCACCGAGACCAATGTCGGTCAGCTTGCGTCCACCAAGGAAGGCGATACGAGCATCAAGGTCCTTGGCGGGCTTGTTGTAGTAGATTCTGTCTTCCTTGCGCGGCCAGTAGTGGCTGTCACCAAGACCGAAAACGGAGTAGTTGATGGAAGACAGATCCAAGTCACCGGTGTTCTTCACGAACTCCCAGAGGCCACGGCCATTCTGGGGGAATTCACCCTGACCGGCAGTACTGGAGATGAAGACCACGTTTTCTTCGGTGGCGAGGTCATCAAGGGGGTAGTCATCCATGGCCATGACCATGGTCTTCAAGCCTCTGGCACGACCGCGGTTGCCGAGGCGCTTCGCCAGAGTCGCGGCGTTGCCGTTGTCGGAGGCGAAGAGAATGGTCAGAGGAGCACCAAAGAGACCCTCAAGGAGCTTCTCATAAGAGTCCTTAGCCTGGCGCTTCTGAAGAGAGCGGACCTCAGTTCCGTAGGACTCAGAAAGCACAGGTGAGTACTTGGGGTGACGGTTCATGAGCTGGGTAAGCTGGTTGTCCCTGCGAAGGAACTCTTCAAGTTCGCGCCTGATCCGGTCCGAGTCCAGAGAGAACTTAGGTTCGTCGTTCTCATCGTTGCCGGGGTTCCAGCGGTACAGCGGCCAGTAACCAAGGTCAACAGCCTTCTTGGTCTCCTGGAGTACAGTCAAGGCAGAGTCGTTCTCCTGGTTGTAGGGGAGGTAGGCAACAACAACGGAGGGACCCTTGAACTGCTCGGCCTCAGCCATAGCCTGAAGAACCTGGGTGTACGAGCCGTAGACGGCGACGGAAGCAACATAGGCGTTGCCAAAGTTCATGGCATACAGACCAATGTCCTTCTTTCTGCGCGTGGGGTCCGCGGCGGTGCGTTCGGAGTAGGGCTGAGAATCAATGACGAGCATGTTGACGTTGGCTCCGGAGGCAAGGACGTGGTGAACACCGGAGTTGCCGAGATCATAAGCCCAGGCATCAGAGCCGATGAGCCACAGGGACTCATCGTAGAAGAGCTTCTTGGACTGCAAGAGCTGTCTGGCAAGCTGAGAACCGTCGTTGGAGAGGCGGGCAATAACATCGGGTGCCAGCTTGTTGGCCTTGGAGGCATCTGCAGCACTGAGGGCCCAGTTGGAGAGCCATGTCCTGGGGACGTCAGTGGCGAAGCTGGTGGACTTGGATGCCTCTTCGACTTCGCGGATAAAGCGCTGGCGGTGCTCCAGCCTGGCGGTCAGCGCACCAAATCCGTATTCAGGGCTGGCAGCAATGGTGGAGGAGATTCCGGCGTGCTTCGAGCCCAGCTGGTTGGCGATGTGCAGGCGTTCACCGAAGAGCTGGTTGAGGATCTTAAGGTAGGCGTTCTCAACATGGGGCTGCTCGAGAGAAGTCTCAATGGACGGGACCTTGGAGGTTCCGATCTCAAGGTTCTGAATGGGGGAGGGAGAGCTCAGGTTCTGCACAATGCCACGAAGAGCCTGGACGGCAGTGGAGGGCTCAACATATCCCAGTCTGTATCCCACAACCTTGGGGGCGGCCCGACCAGCAGCCGGGGAGAGACTGGAAAGAAGATCCATGAACGCCGGTCCCCACTTCGTAGTCTTGCGGACCTGCTCCAGCACGGCGATCTTCTCAATCGAGCTAGGGATAGATTCAACAATTTGGCCTCCAACCCAAGGGCGGTACAACCGCGCAGTGATCAAGCCAACGTTTCCAAGCTCACTGGAAGCCTCCTCCTTGCCCAGAACGTCGACAAACACGCCAGTCGAGCCGAAGACGAAGATGGCAGACTTGGCATCGGAGGGACCAGTGTACTCAATCGCGCGGTAGTTGCGTCCGGTGGTCTCAGACAACACATTCCATATTTGAGAGGTCCATTCGAAAATGTCTGTAGCACTGACGGGCCGAGTGGCCGAGGCGTCAATGGTGGTGGCAGCGGAGCTAGTCGCACGGCTATCGACACTGCTGTCCCTCTGAGAAGAGCCGACAGACGAAGTGTCAACACTGACATTGGAAGGAGTCTGAGTTGCCTGGGCAGGGGTGGAAGAACCCTCAACCTGGCTGGTGGCAGTGTCCACATCCTCAGTCACTGTAGCGACCCGTCCGGAGTCAGTGTACAGCGTCTGGGCACCCAGGCCAGACGTATGTGTCACAGAGCTTCCGCCCAGGTTGAGAACGGACCGAAGGACCTCGGCGTCTTCCTCAGCAATGGCGTCATCGCGAGCGGAGTTGGCAGGGTCGAAGAAGTGGATGACACCCTTGCCGGACTTGCGGGACAACGCGTGAGCAGTAATAGCGATATCCTGGGCCTCCTGGAGCGTCTCAGAGTGCAGGAAAGTGAACCCGCATTGCCTGATAGAGCTGATCACGGAGTAATCTGGGAAGGGGTAGGGCTCCAGAGCGACATGGATGACAACAGGAGTGTTCGCCAGGCGGTAGAGGTGAGGGATAGAGGAGAGCAAGGTAGAAGAGTTGGTCACGACAGACACAGTGTTTCCAGTCTGCAGAGGGTGGAAAGCGGAGAGGAGGGGATCTTCGTTATAGCGAACAGCCACAACCTGTGCAGAGAGTTAGACCTGCCTTCATACAGTCCTTATGAACAGTGTGACTCACGTCAGTGACGCCGCGGGGCAGAATGCTACGGGCATTGCTGGCCTTCAGGGTCTTGAGAGTCTTGGAGAACCAGGAATCGGCCTGCAATGACGGCTGAACGGAGAGAACGACATCGCTGGCCAAGTAAGCGACTCTCGCCACTGGAAGCATCAGAAGAATGGTTAGCACTCAGATCGGACCACGAATGATTCCTTTAAATGATAGAGTTCCAATCAGACAAAGAGAGGAACCAGAGGAACAGCATACCTGCTTCACCCGCAGTCGAAACGGATGCCATATTGACAATTGCTAGCTGCGCAGCGTAAAGCGCAGGAAGTGGGATGGCAGAGAGAACTGGATATCACCGCATACGGTGACTCCCCACTCAATTCGAGATCAATAAATGAGGATAATGGGGTAGGAGGCAGAGGAGGAAAAAGAAGAGAAGAAGTGGAATGACTCCAGGTAAAGACAGGGGAAATTTTAGCTTCACACTCAGCCCGTCTTTCCCTAATTTTTCTACAAAACTCCGTGCAGCGACGAGCAATGGTTCTGCTCCTCATAGACTTTTGGGGCCCTTCTCCGCCATCGGGGTTGGATTAGCCCGACGCTGATTGGATTGCGATCACGACATCGATGCAAACAGCCGCTGAACGGTCTTGCAAACATCCCCGATCAGGTCAAGTGCGGGGGCCTCGTGACTGGCCCTCGAGCACGTCACCCCGTTGATGCCTCGTGCATCAGGCAGTTATCGGCTTTTGCTCTGAATGCCGGCGGATTTCAAAGCACGAACTACTTACTAGTACAACTAGTAACTACAACAACATCAGAATGATTTCACACAGACTTGAGTTAATCTCATTGTAGCGAAATTGTTCCCGTATAACCTATTTGTTATACAAAGAACACTACAGTTACTAGTATAAACCTTCGTGCCTTTATTCACTACTAGTAATGCCTAAATCTTGATGCAGATTTCACCCTGCTCATGGTGGTCGGATATATATACAGTTTAAACCCAGGTATCGGTGCTACTGGCAACCACTAGTAAGGTGTTACCATGACTCTTTCATGTACTCCAGGCTGCTGTACTACTAAGAGATTTGTGTACTATCATGCAATTACATCGGGATTTCTCGCGGGCTTTGCTGGGCTTCGCTCCAAACATGCAACTGACATCATCCTTTCTCGGGCGAGACAGCATCGGAGATAACTCGGATCAGACACTAGATGCATAGTAGAGAATTATAACAGCACGACACCATCCGATTTTATGGAAACCAAGCCACAATTTATTGCCAGTGAAAGCTGACGAATCAAGATTGGCGAGGGGTATCTATTTCTTGCACATAAGATATATGACGCTGGTTCTCGGGCGCCCAAGTATGATGGGGAAAAAATATATGCAAATCCCTAGCATGATGCGACAAAAATGTACCCTGAAAACAAGAAAAAACGCCTCGAACGAACCATCCCTATGTCGATACAAATATACAGGTCCGAGACGCCAAGTCCATGTCGGCCGTGACGACAAACCTCCTCAAAAGCCAATATATGTTCATCCTTCCAGCTATGATGCCGCCTGGTAGCCCGCACCTTTCACGCGTGCGATTATTTGATGGATGTCGTTTCAATATCACACCATCGCTGCACAAGCCAGGACCGAAGAAGCGCGGTACCATCCTCCCTTATTCCCCTATGTCCCCCATTGTCCCGATTCATAAACAGTGTATGTAGATCATTTCGGCATATATAATAACAGGTTTGAAAGGAAAACCACGCAACGTGGGTGGACACGAAGGGGAGGCTATGGAGTTGTGAGCCCTCCACAGTAGAGTGTGGCATCGCCATCAAGAACCAAGCTCTCGCTCTGTCCTTGTGTGCGATACGGCAGACGGTAACAGATCATGTCCGCCGAGATGCGCCATTGAGCCCCTTGGTAATTTTGAAATGTATTACCGGGTCAGAGACCGAGGATCCTCAATTGAAATTTCAATGCAAGGCGATCGCAGAATTACCTGCTCTCGGTCCAACCGTTCATCTTGACGTTCATTCCTGGGACCTGTTCATGGATCGGTTGTTGTAAGGCTACGGCTTGAAAAGCGGACTGGGAGGGTTGAGGTGGTCCGGTTCCCGAGCGACGTCTTCTCTCCCGCTCGAGAGGGCCGGGAAGTTCGGTGTCTTCCGCACGAGCGCGGAAACGGCGGCCCAGGGTGGCCATCCAGTTTCCGCCTTCTTCATCCTCGCCGAGCCAGTAGTTGCGACCGATGCTGATCATGATGCGCCCGAGCTTTCCTTGCCAACCTTGGCCATCAGGGCTATACGGGGAGAAAGGCTCCCGGTCAATGTCCGCAATACTGGCGACGCTTGCGATGGAGGTATTACGGCTGTGGGTTGGGAGCTGGGTGTGGCGAGGGACGGCGACGTAGAGACGGAGGGCCTGACGAGCAAAAGCGAGCATGACGAAAACGAAGTAGATGCGAATAACCCAGAGGCAGCAAATGACAAAGATGCTTTGGAAGCTTTCGGGCTGTGCCACAGCGTTTCCGAGAGCATCCGGTCTCCTTGCGTAGTGACCGCTCTCTGTTTTGGTGGTGTCGTACTTGGGGCTGGTGAAGCCAGCGGTCTGGGCGATGGTCTCACCACCCGGTCCCGAGGCGCTGCCGTTGTCGTAATGCTGAGACACGACTAGGAACCAGGTCACACCGAAAGCTGCAGTATAGGCGGCATTGATCAGGCTGTCGAAGACATAGAGCCAAGCGAGCGCGAGGCATTGTAGTGGCGTTTGTTTCCGGATGTGCGGGAAGAGCAGGGCTGTGAGGCCGAGGGCGAGGAGGGAGTAAATATACATGGACAGCTGCACCGGGGAGAGGTGGTAGCCGGTCAACAGGGCGAGCAAGCCATAGAGTCCGCTAATTTTGTTGAGGAGTAAGGAGAGAGTGATCAAGGAAGCTCCGGTTTGGAGGCTCATAACATAGAGGAAGGTCTGTGTGAGGTCACCGGAAAGCCGGGATGCGATGGTTAGCCTCATTACAGCGCGCGACCGGGCAACGGGGTCCAAACAGGGTCTGGGTTCCCATCATAATTTTTTTTCATTTAACCGCCGGGGGGGTGGGTGTGTAGTGTTGAAACATACCTCTGGCCGCGGGATGCGGAAGAGACGGGTTGATAAACCCATGATTGATATCGCCGAGGAGAGATATCAGAGTTGAGGGAATGTGATGTAGGAGAGGGGGAGATATGAGAGTTGTTGGTGGGTGGTGGTGGAAGGTGGAAGGAAGGGAGCGACAGAAAGAGGAAAAGGAATGGAAGGGCTGGCGGGAAGAGCGAGATTGAAAGGACTAAAGAGGACGCAGCAGGGCGTGTTTAAGTGACGCTGGCGCCCAATTGCGGGTTTCACAGGGGCACGATTTTCCGGGCGATCCGCCCGCCGATCGATGCCCTTTTCTTGCTTGTGTTGCTTGCAACAGACCCTGTGGTCACCGCCAATGCGCTGCCCCATGACGTTGTTTGTTGGCTGTAGCAACAACAGCACCAGAAAGCTACACACATACTACCTCTGTTATATTGACTATATTATAATGCTGCGACCAAACCGTATCGATATCCGAATCAAACAATTCTGTGTTCGATGGTGGCCCTAGTTCTACCTTACCTCTTTCGCCCCCTCCCCCCGTCTGGATGGATCCCCTGCCGACTAGGAGGTACTAGACTGTGCATGTCGTACGTACATACTCTGCTTGACCTGTGCTTGCCAAGACATAATACGAGTACGACCAATGCTACTGCCTGATGGCCTGCTTACTATCGAACCCACCATTGTGCATGAATTTCTCTCTCAGGGGCTGATCTTGAAAGGCCTTCCGCATTATGTTGTTGAATTTTCTCCGACAAGACTAGTCAGATCGCCGGGATGAGCGGTTGACACGATAACCTAATCGTCACTAAACCCCCCCCGTTGATCATACGACAGGAACAGCAGCACTTGGTAGAGCCACCGATCCCAACAAAAGCTTATGCCACCCATGACTTGGCCATTGCAACATGAACGCCATCTGGAGTAGTGGTATTTCTAACAAATCGCAGCAGTAGCATCATCATTATCATCCATGATGCTCCGGAGCAAAGCGACACAGACAAGAAAACAGCACAAAAGTCGGGAAACCGCGGGGAAATGCAATATGATGTCAATGCACAAGCCGAACGCCTGGGTCTCCCGTCAAAAGTCGGATTTCAAGGTAAGGTTTCAGGAAGCGCAAGAGAAGACGCATTCGAAAGAAAAAAAAAAGAAAAAAGAAAAGCTCAAGCTTGATCTAAACACGCTATTCACCTGGAACATAAAGGGAGAAAAATGTACATCTTAAGAATGAAGAGCATTATGGACAATCTCAAGCCTCATCATTGAGATTCAGGCACAGATAGAGAGGGATCGCAAGCTGTAGAAAGTATGGCCGGGGTAGAAAGAATTAGAGAGTACAACATCTAGCAGGCGCATCCGTCGTTGGTCGTGGTCTCTTTCGGGGTGATGTTGACATCGATCACTGTAGAAGCCGTCAGTACTCATCTCGTATAATTTAAGCCATCGGCGGGGAGAGGGTAACGGACTCTGGTTGTCTCCCCGGTTGGCTTCACCCTCCATGCCGGGTAGGGCTTGCGCAATTCTCCTGAAGAGCTGCTTCACGTTGTGACCGACTTTAGCACTGGTTTCAATGAACATCAAGCCGTTCTTCTTCGCCTCCTCCTCGCCCTGCGCCGTCGTGACCTCGCGCTTGTCGTTCAAATCGGTCTTGTTGCCCACCAGAACAATGATCACATCGTTACCGCGTTCCCCACGTACATCGTCGATCCATTTGCGCGTGTTCTGGAAGGACTTGGCGTTGGAGATATCGTAGACCACCACCGCGACACTCGAGTCACGGATGTAGGAAGGAATCAAGGATCGGAAACGCTCTTGACCGGCTGTGTCCCAAAGTTGAAGGCGAACAGTTCTATCTTCCAAGTACATAGTCTAGGATGGGAAATGCGAATTAGCTTCATGCAGCAGCGCGAGCGTATGGGGAACCATGAGACCGAGTGAGAATGGCTCGACTGAGGGCCTGCTAATGCAGGGGACGCAGTCGACTAGGCGTAGTATACCTTTGACAGGAAATCAATTCCAATGGTAGCTTGGTACGTGTTGTCAAACGAGTCGTACATGAACCGTGTGATCAGGGAAGTTTTTCCAACTGTGAGGGAGATGTCAGAGACCGGGTGGCGCCAATGGTTGGAGTATTGTCGCAGAAGATATCCGTACCACTCTGCTCGCCCAAGAAAACCAGCCTGCAATTCGATTAGCCGCACAATCAGAAAAATTGGGAGATATACTGCAGGCGGGACATACTTGAACTTCTTCAAAGGGTTCGAATACGACCCTACCCCGGAGGTGGAGGCCATGACTGCAGATGTTCTGATAGTAGGAGTGGTGGCGGAATCAGGGGTAGCGGAGGGACGTCGCAAAGTCGACAAGTGTTAAGGCGGTGGACAACGGTCGAGTGGGAGGAGGGCACTAGGGATACAAGGACATATATTGGGGTGGATATATATCTGGGGGAGAGGCGAGAGGTGCGAAAAGCGACCGTATATATCGGGGAGCAGGGAGGTTCAGCAAGACGACGATGACTGGAGAGCTCGACCCATGGATCGGTCCGGGGACTTGGACAGTATTATGTACTCCGTATTTGTATTGAACTGGGATGATGGACTGACAAGCACACGCCCGCGGATTAATCGGCGGCCCGACCTCCACCTCCCGCTGTACTTGCGGCTTGTTCCAGCTACACGCTTCGGTCAAGAGCTCCCTACGCTCCTCGTTCGACTCCCTATCTTCTGCTCCTCTCCTCTTCGGGGCCCCCGTCGCTTATTTTCTTGATATCCTTCAGCACTCAGGCAGTGCCGAAAGCCGGGGTTTCATCATGGGTCTCCTCTATCCTTCCGGTGTTGTAATCGTGGCAGCAGCGGTGGTAGGACTGTGTAAGTAAACCATCATTCTGGCGCGGCGGGCTTCATCAAGACACTAATTTCCTTGGTTTCCATGATTAGACTACCTTTTCCGCGGTGAAGGCGAAAAGATTAACGTACGTCACGGACCCCTACAACCACGATGACCAGTGAACACCCGCTAATTCGATCTAGATCGGCTACTTCCTCGAGTCGGTGTCTCCGTATGCCTGGGCGAACTTTGGAATTGCCATGTGCATTGGCTTGTCGGTGGTTGGTGCGGCATGGTATGGCTTTACAATCCCGGCTTGTGTCATTGAGAAAGGGATACTGACTGCGTTCCAATCAGGGGTATCTTCTTGACCGGCTCCTCGATCGTTGGTGGAGGTGTCAAAGCACCCAGAATCCGTACCAAGAACTTGATCTCGATTATTTTCTGTGAAGTCGTGGCTATCTATGGTGTCATTATGGCCATCGTCTTCTCCTCCAAGCTCAACCTCGTTGAAGGCGATGAGGCCTTCTCTGGCAGCAACTACTACACCGGATATGCGCTGTTCTGGGGCGGTATCACTGTGGGCGCCTGCAACCTGATTTGCGGTATCTCCGTCGGTATTAACGGAAGTGGTGCGGCCCTGGCCGATGCTGCTGACCCTAGCTTGTTCGTCAGCCCCTTCATTCGATTGGCGGAGTGAACGCTAACAAAATGCATGATAGGTTCGTCAAGATTCTGGTTATCGAAATCTTCAGTTCCGTTCTCGGTCTCTTCGGATTGATTGTTGGGCTTCTGGTTGGAGGAAAGGCACTCGACTTTGGAGCTGCCTGAAGAATGCTGCCCGGTGGAGATGTAGAGGGCCATGATGGGGATGATCTGTACGACCTATATCATTCTTGTCTTCACTTTTCTGTTATTTGTCCTATTTATAGGCCGCATTGGGCGCATGGATTCGATTTGACTGTAGACCGGTTGGCTATGCGTGAATTGCATTGATAGTCCTGTTTTTTGTTGCTTTGCCTAAAGGGGAAAGAAGAGGAGGAAAGGTGTACAGTAATTGCTAGGAGATATCATAGGAACATTTTACCAAACGAAGATAAATAGCGAGCGCAAGTATCTTACGTCGTAAGCTGCAAGCTGTAGTAGCAGTTTCGTAGTATAGATGCAGCATACTTTATACTAGACGCTGCGGGTCACCAATCCGGCCAGTCAAGCAGCCTCCGCCCTTATCAACATCCATCTCCGTTCTCCCCGCCGTCCCGGTAGGAGACTCTCCAACAACCCCTCACTTCTCTACAATGGCAGACAACACCCTCAAAGCGGCGATCTTGATCGTCTCAGATACCGCCTCGCAAGATCCATCCACAGATAGGGTGGGAGACACACTGACTACCGTCATCTCAGCCGAAGGGTCGAATAACTGGGGCACGCCCGTTATCAAGATCGTCCCCGATAATGTGTTGGATATCCAACGCTCCATTTGTGACTGGACTGATGGTCCAAATTGGGTTAATCTTGTGGTCGTAAGCGGTGGTACTGGGTTTGCTACCAAGGATATCACGCCTGAGGTCGGTCTTCTTCCTCCCCTTGAGCTTCGTATTTCATGGCTAATGCCAGACAGGCCGTATCGCCTCTCATCCATCGTCATGCATCTGGCCTGGTGTGCGTCTACTCCAGCTCTCCTATTTCGGCTTTATGACCGACACTAACTTACTGCACCTAGACACGGCATGATTGCAGCTTCTCTCAAAGTCACCCCTTGTAAGGCTGTCAGCGACAACATTGCAATACTCGCCTGCTAACAAATACAACCAGTTGCAATGATGTCTCGCCCTGTTGCTGGTGTGCGAGACAAGACGTTGATAGTCACCGTACCCGGATCTCCCAAAGGGGCCAAGGAGAACCTCGAAGCAATCATCAAGCTCTTGCCGCATGCGTGTAGCCAGGCGGCTGGCGCAAACTCCAGAGCCCTGCACGCAGGCGGGGTCAAGAAACTGGAAGCCGAGGCAGGGGTATCTGCGCCATCTCCCTCTGGCAGCAAGGCAGACCATCACCATCACCACCACCATCATCACCATCACGGTGGTCATGATCATAGTCATGGACATGCCGTTCCCCGCGCACATACTTCCCCGTCAGAACGTCCCCAGTCAAACGACCCCAACGCCGGTCCAAACCGTCGATACCGCGAGTCTCCGTACCCAATGCTTTCGGTTGACGAAGCGCTCCAACTGATCAGCCAGCACACGCCCGAACCGACAATCATTGAAGCCCCGGTGACAACAGCGCTCGTCGGATCTGTCATCGCTGAAGATGTCTACGCCCGGGAAGCCGTGCCCGCATACCGTGCTAGTATCGTCGACGGCTACGCCGTCATCACCCCCGAATCACCCGATGCCGGGCCCAACACCAAGGGGATCTTCCCCGTTGCATCCATAACCCACGCCAACGAAGGAGGCATTCTATCCCCCCTCGAACCCGGTACCATCGCGCGAATCACCACCGGCGCACCGCTTCCCCCCAACGCCAACGCCGTAGTAATGGTCGAAGACACGGTCCTCGCCTCGTCTACTCCCGACGGTCAAGAAGAAGCAACCGTCGAGATTCTAACCGGCGACATCAAACCCCAAGAAAACGTCCGCGAACCAGGCAGCGACGTAGCTCTGGGGTCCTGCATCCTCCGCAAAGGCGACCTGATCACCTCAGTAGGCGGCGAGATCGGCCTTCTGGCCGCAACAGGCACCCAGACCGTGAAAGTCTACAAGAAACCCTGCATCGGAGTCCTCAGCACAGGCGACGAACTCGTCGAACACAACGACCCTCGCAAGCTCCAAGGCGGCCAAATCCGTGACTCGAACCGCCCGTCTCTCCTCTCCTGCCTCACCTCCTGGGGCTTCCCCACCGTCGACCTCGGCATCGCTCGCGACACCCCAGTCGGAGAACTGGAGCAAAGCCTCCGCGACGCCCTCAGAGGCGTTGGAAAAGCTCAATCCAGCGTCGACGTAATCATCACCACGGGCGGTGTCTCAATGGGTGAACTCGACCTCCTCAAACCCACCATCGAGCGTTCCCTCGGCGGAACCATTCACTTCGGCCGCGTCTCCATGAAACCAGGCAAACCTACCACCTTCGCCACAATCCCATTCAAGCCCTCCTCCACACCATCATTGTCCTCAGGACAGCAGCAACAAGAACGCGAAACCAAACTCATCTTCTCCCTCCCCGGTAACCCTGCCTCCGCGCTCGTAACCCTCAACCTCTTCGTACTGCCCTCCCTCCACAAGCTCATGGGCATGGAACAGCGCAAGATCACCCCCGCTGGGATCTCCCCGCCGCTAGGCCTTCCGCTTGTGTCTGTGGTGCTGGCGCATCCGTTCCCTGTTGATAAGAAACGCACCGAGTATCATCGGGCCATTGTTACGGCGTCGCGCGAGGATGGTCGGCTCTATGCTATGAGTACGGGATTGGAGGGGGTGGGACAGCGTAGCTCGAGAGTGGGTAGCTTGGCGAGTGCTAATGCGCTGTTGGTGCTGAAGCCGGGGACTGGGAAGGTGGAGAAAGGGTCGTTGGTTGAGGCGTTGATGATGGGGGCTGTGGTGCCGGAGAAATGAGGAGAACTCAATTTAACTACAAGGCTTTGCTCTAGTAGGATCTATAGCATAGTATACATTACTTTTTCACGGTATGCAAGCACTACTTCTTCTGAATCATGACCTTGTAGTGTAGATATTCATTATTTGCCCCAAATATGCAAGAATACAAAAATCTATGCCAGAATAATAGCAAAACAAGCTCTGAAGTTATTGTATCATATCGCACTCGGGACTCCAAAACAAGGGTATCGCTACCACCGAGAAAAAAACAAGTATTAGATCAAGATCTGCACCACACGATTCCCAGGACCAGTCGCACATGCTAACCAAACATGACTCAGTAGACTTAGACAAAGATGAATAGATAGAAGAACAACGCGCATTTCATGCAGAGCTTCGTAAGTGCATAGGTCAGACCACCGCATCAGCCTTTATGTATCTTCCACCCCTTCTTCTTCGCCGCCCTCAGCACAGGCAGAGTATATTCCCTGCCCTGTTTGCGAGCGACTTCGATGACGATAAAGCGTACGAAGTCAGTCAAGGTCCAGTAGCTGCTATGCGCGCTGAGCATGTTCAGGTATTGAATGTTCAGGGGCCCGCCGCCGCCAGAGAGGAAGTAGTCGATCTGGCCGTTGTCGTTGAGGAGGAACATGCGCTTTTCGGCGATTTCTTCATGTGTGAAGTCGTGGGTTTCTAGTTCGACGTTGGTGGGGAGTTTGTTGAGGGTTGCTGGACGGGTGGGGATGGTGGTGGTTGAGGGGAGTAGAGCTGGGGGAGTGCTCCAGCGGAATACGCTGCCCACGGATTGCCAGAAGGATGCGGCGGAGGTTGGGATGGAGGCGGGTCGGAGGGATCTGGCGAGGCCGCTGTCAACGGCGGCGTTGACGTGGTAGGCGATTGCTGGGGGGTGTGTGTGTTAGTATGAGGTGGTTGGGGATGAGGAATGTAAGGTGCATACGATCGGTGGTGTGCATGATGTTGTATAGGTTGTCGACGGCTAGACAGCCGTATGTGTCTGCTTCACCTGCTACGCCTCGAAGCCGATCGTCGCCTTCACAGCCGGGTTTATCTCGTCCTCGTCGAGGTAGTAAGTTCGCTGCGTGAGTGATTAGCCCGAGGATGACATAGAAGGTGGATGAGAGTTTGAAATTACCTTTGTTGAGAAGGAGGAAGAAACCGGCCGGACTGCCACATATAAATAGGTTCTTCGTATCAAATTCAAAAATGTCGCCGTGAACTTCGGTTTTCGAAAAGTTAAAGGATGGGATTTTCGTTGGCTGATGAGTGAGGATGTCCAAGGCCATGGCGCTCCCCAGGGAATGTGCAAGCAGATGTACTCGCCCGTTCTGCTGAAACCCTGGATTGTTCTCACACCAAAGCCGAAAGATGCGATTAGCTTCTTTGACTACTGCTCGTATCATCTTAGGCTTATGATGAGACAGATAGTACGGGATGTCCAGCATGACATCGCTGATCAATGACCTGACAGCCGGTATCGTTTGTGGCGTGATGTCGTCTAGGGAATAGTGGTTCGCAGCAGGATCTTCACCAGCTGGAGACTCCAGGTTGGCTTCATCCAATGACAAGGTAGAGCGCCAATTGACAGGAAGGGCCATAATGCCTCCATGGCCTGGGCGCACATGTGGCCAGACGGGTTCGCTGTTTAACTCCACGTTAATTTGCCTTCGAAAGGCATTGATAGCATGGGTGAAATGAAAGCTCTCCATCCGTTCCGACAGTTTCTGGCCAATACCGTGTATGACTAGCACCAAGTCTGTTGGGGCAGGCCGCAATTCCTCTATCGCACATGCATAACAAATAGGCTCAAGGGATGTCGTCGACATCGCTCGAGATTGGGTGCTGCGCAGATAGTTCCTCACGTCTACTGGGCTGGGTTTGCTTGGGTGTAGTCGATCCCATAATCGTCTACTGAAGCCACGAATCACAGGAATACCAATCTGTCTTCCTTTACGGATCGCACTGAGCGGCTTGCGTCCCCTTGACACAGATGGAAGAAGGCTAGGCCGGAGAATCTGTGCGTTTCTCGCGTCAGCGTAGATGACGCTAGAATTTAAGAACGGCTTAACAGTGTCGGATTGCGCGGATGTACTACCCGCAGCTCGGTTGAGATCTAACGGCATGATTTCAGGTCTTTTGCGCTTGTCTTCGTTCGACAGACGAGCGGTCGAGCTTCGTGTTTCAGAACCTGGCGCAGCCACAGCAGTAGGTGGTCTAGTTGTATTCTCTTTCGGCCAGAGCTTGTGTACGATTTTCAACTCGGCATCGGCACCATTCTCAACGCAGCTATTTAGTTCATCTTGCCATGTTTCGGTCCATGGTTTCAGGTAGTGGTAGCCATCTTCCAATCTATTGGCGAGTTCGGTCTCCACGGGTAGCATAGTATTCTTGTAGAACCACGTCGCACGAAATACGCTCGAAATATCATGTAGGGGGCTCCAGTAAATCGGTTTCATCTGTCCGAATTTAGCCGCTTGCTATCATGGTCAACCGTGTTTATATGAAATTGGACTTACCTTGAGACTCGGTAATTCGACCAGATGAAGCCGAGATGCACCTACGGGAACTTTGTGCCGTGGCTCCTCAACCGGGTCGGCTTCTCCCGTTTCACCATCATCCTCGTCGGGAGAGGCCTGTCGAATCGTCGTCCTTAACCCCGATGGTTTCGGTACAGATTGAGTGGATGGATCTATCAAGGAATCCTGGTTCCCATCTTTCGACGATATAGATTCCACCGACCGGCCTAATGGGCTGTGTCTGGGGGAGACTGGAGCTCTGGCAAAAGGGGAACCACTGATGCTCACATCGCGCGAAGGATAGCTTCGCGGACTGGTGCTTTCTGCACCATCAACTCCTGCATCGTCACTTGTTAGTACTTCATTAGCCTTGGATTCTACCGATCCGAACTTGTCGTTGAAAGGCGGCTCCAGTTTGCGCCGTACACCTGTGCCGGCTGTAGGACCGCCATCTAAGCTACTGCCAAGTGTGCGTGACCTTTCTCGAGACCCTTTGTTGTTTACGCCTGCCTTACTAGCTTCGATTCTGGACCGTATTTGAGAGCTGGGTGGTAATTGGTCATCCAAGGAGCGCGAAGGGGCACCAGCAGAGCTCTTCTGGCTACCAGCCAAGCTTGTGTCATGTAGCCCCTTGTGTTTCAATTTCCCCGGATCCACAGAAAACCCCCGGCCTGGTACATCGATGCCCGAATTCCTAGTTGACGAAGTACCACTTTGAGATTTGAATTTCCCATCGAGCTCTTTCCTTATGGTCTGCTGCAACTGTTTCCAAGAATCTTCCAGGGCCGCATTATCCCTGACTGAGAAAGGCTGGAGCGGAGCCCACTCATTCCCCGAACCTTGACCGCTAGTTGGAGGAGGAAGAGCAGCCAACGGATCGTCGATTGCAAGTGTGGACGTGTAAAAGAATTGCGGTCGAACGCTGGGTGGTTTATCCGAAGAAAGCCAGGCAGAGAGATCGGGGTCGTCTTCCGCGAGTAAACAAGATGGGCCGTAGGTATGGATAGGGCCGGTCGTCATCGTGACGGCAAGTAGCAGGGACAGGACTATCGCAAAAGAGAGCTGTGTAAATAAACCAAGCCTGTGCAAAGTGACCAAGGGCTAACCAGCATGACAGTGAGTCCGAGTCGGGAGCAAATATAGGCAGAAGCGCTGTGCTGTTGTTGGGGGATGTCCAGCGCGCGCTGGATTGTAGTTCAGCAAGGGAGGCCAGATATCAGCGAGAGCTTCGAAAAAGCCCGATACCAGCTTTGAGGATAAGATTCATAATCAAAAGAGATGCAGTAAAAAGACCTGCGATACTCCAGAGGCCAGCCAGGCAGCTGGAGATGGATCGGAGACAGAAAAGGTGGCAGCAGCAGAAAAGGTGAATCCAGGTGAATCTGCAGCGAACCCCATGACGTCGGCCCACGTGAAAGCCGGCCAGGCGATCGCCGATCTCGATTGGCAGCCCCAAACAACTCTTTTACTACTAGTAATATTCAAACCATTACTCACACAGCACCAGCCACGAAGGATCATCCCTCTTCGTGTCTATGGTAATATTACTGGATCTGCAAGTTGCTCGATTCGCTCAAGTAAAACCGGTGAGTGTGTCGCACCAAGCGGACCCAGAGACGAAGCTTACGGAGTTATCGCGGCTAACTGTCAGGGTGGATCTTGGTTAGCTAGTACTATCTTATCTCTCTCCTAATTATGGAGTAGACCGCAAGATTAAGCCATACGGATGCTGGAGCGCTCCTAGCGTGGGCGGAAAGCCCTCGATACTATTAGGAGCATGCTAGCTATGCAAGGAAGACCACTCGACACGTAGCTAATTAGGGGCTGCCAACAAATACACAGAGCCCTCTACATTCCCGTAAACAGGGCCCGGCATATCAAAGCTGAAACATATTTGAATTTTGCAGCTAGACATGGATGGTCGAGCTGTGCGGGTTGTTGTCAATCGCACCGAGCAGACTACTCATACCGGATCCTGTTAAAGTTGATCAACTCAAGAACTTTGGCGGACCTTCTCGGAAGTTTATGAGCCATTGTGCGGATGATCTGGCATGATGGTGGGGTGTGATCATCTGTTGTGTCAAATGGGCGCCTGGACACTCGTAAGTGGGTTCAAATGATTGGTGATATATTGCCCGGGAGAATCTTAGGCACTCTAGCTGGTCTCAGGTCACTTCGCGCCATATATTATGTATCTTAGAGGCTTCAGGGCTATATGGTGATGCATACGTGGCGATTGGTCCACTGGCTGCACGGTGAGTTGTGTCTGCAGGAAAGCGCCCGCCAAGCCAAGCTGTCAGACTCTCAAATGTGGAGTTGAGTATCTTGATACGCTCATTAACCGTCTACAAGAGTCTAAGGTGAGAGTTGTTCAATGTGTCATGGCCTAGATTGTATTCTTATCTAGATCATAGATACAAGGCTTAATAAAGCCGTGCTAAGACACTAATTACTCGTCACCGCTTCTAGCACGTATCATTGCTTGCTGTGCTGAGCTGGAAGGTAAGACAGACAACGAAAACAGAAGAAAACCGAGATAGAACGAAGAAGAGAATGAGAGACACCAAGTCGCTCAATGCGCCTGAAAATGATGTCCATCGTACTTTCGACTGGGGAGATGCGACTTCTCATGGCTACCATCAACCTGGCAAAGCTTCTCGAGATGGGACTTCATCAAGGAAAGTATGCTCATCTGGAGCTCTTCAAACGTGAGATAGGTAGTAAGAGGCGCGTCCAGCATATCCAGTAATTTATGGATGTCATGCATGTGCTTGCGAACAGCGCTATCGGGGAAACAGAACGTACGAACGCCCATCTCCTTACTGAGTGCCTTCCAATTATTCAGGTTCGACTTGAGAAGAACTAGGTTAGAGGAACATTCGCCGCTGAAACGCAGAGTCCGGACATTTGCCAGAATCAGCCGGCGCTGGGTGGCCTGGTCGAACTGGAACTCAATGACCTGAGGCCGGTTTTTCGATCCCCAATAGTTGGTGACCTTGCGAATCGACTCTTCAGACAGACGGCCCTCATTGTATTGTCCGAGAAGGAACTTATTGGCGCTGACGCAGAGCATAACCTCCATTTCCGAGTACAGCTTGGCCTGTGTCGGAGGATCTAGCGAGATGGGAATGGTTGATTCGGGAACAAGCCTTGGGCGAAGGGTGGCATGGATGATGGGGTTTGGGTGAGCCCTGGCCACATCCTCCGCCTGGATTCAACATTAGCACGTATATACTATGAAACGAGACAAGAAGGTTACTTACGAGTTCTTCCACTTGCTTGATAACCTTCCTGCCCAGACCTCTCAAGCCTCTGAACTTATGACTGTCCCTCGACAAATCCTTCATGTCGGCAGTGCATCCAAGCCAGCCGTTCTCACCAAAGAGCTTCTTGTGCGTGGTCTTTGTTGGCATGAGGGCAGGTTCCACACAGGACGCATCTACCTGATCATGCGGATAGTGCTCAACGGGGTGGACAGAGCGGGGGAGCACGTTTCTGAAACTATCACCATTCTCGATAAGAGCAGTTTGTCCAATTCGAAGCCCGTCTTGGGTCTGATACAAAGGCTTATGCTCGTTTCCGTTCTGGAGCAAAGTGCATGGCTGCTTAGGTACATGATGATCGTCATAGCACTGGCATTCTCTCAGCAGAGATGCAGATGCTTCTCGATGAACACAAGACTTTTCGTTTCCGGAATGGGTCGACTGTGACGACGGAGAGGAGAGACTTGGAGAGCCTTCTGAGGAGAGGATCATTTCAGTTGCGGCCTGAGCGGATTTGTTCCACATATCCATGATCTTGTCGTAGAAGGGATTGATCCTAGCAATTTCCTCGTAGCTGAGGTTTCTCCATAGCAGTCAGTATCGTCGAATGGGAGCAACAGAAGGATATCTTACTCCGGGCTGAGCATGATGGGAACTTCCCAAGTCTCGCTGCTTTCGTTATTGCTCTCCATCTTGAAGTCGAGGCGTTTCAATCAACCGATCGAGTAAGATGAGGCTTAGATAGACGAAGTCTGATAGGCAACGAAGGCACTGAGGCATGCAGAGATGATCAAGGTGTTTGGATAGACAAGAATCCGAAGATGTTGAAGGGTATAGTCAAGAAGGCCAGGCACATAGGACACAATTACCTATCCTATTGTTCTATTGTGAGCCCATTGTCCTCATTGAATGTAGTAAAACTAGAACTATACCAGTATCAAGTCTACAAAATGAGGGTTTTCATATATACAGGGCAGTATTGTCCCGAAATAGGAAATCACATAGTGAATAATGCTATTGTTGAGGACAATAGAGCACTTTGACCTAACATGTGTTCCTAGGCTAAGCCATAATAAGTTATTCTATAACATTTGAACAATAGGATCTTGAACAATAGGACTTTCTCAATAGGCTTTATTGAATTCTCCTATTGTTGCTATATGGCATTCATTCAGTGTTATTGGTCCAGATTCACCTTAAGACCAAACACAGAGATTAAGCTAGGTACATTGTGCTAAAAGCCATTGTAGAAAGCACCAAGCATGCAATGATCATATATGGGAGCAATCTCATTGGCTATACCACTGGCATGTTTCATTATAATGATGCTATTCAAGTGAGCCGTACTTCCTAGGTGCCTTTCGAGGCCAACGGTATGTGAGGCTATACCCATAACACACCACAGCAGACTTCAGGAGATGTTCCGCCCATAGTATTGGTAGATAAGTGTCTGTTTAAGAGCGTTGCAGCTATTTCCAAAATTCACAAACTGCTGTAACTACAGCAACACTTACAATCATAAATCTATAGTATTTACCGACCTAACGTCATCAATCGGCATGCCGATGCCATAAGCTGGTGCAGTCCCAACTGCCTCTGCGGACCTTCTCTCTACTTGGCTCGGAATTGTAAATGTTCCCACAAATTCCAAGTCTCAGAATGTGCCCTGACTGGAGCGGCACACGTTACATGTTATTTCATCAGTGTGCATTGCCAAATATGAATCGATTGTGAAAGCACTGAGTCCGGAAGCTGGTCTGTCAGTTTTAGATACAATCTCGGTAAAGACCAGTGACTCGGAATCCTCGGCGAAGTATAGCACCTATGAAGTATTTCACTGGTGTGAGCGGAGCCACATAAAATTACTCTAGCTTATAGTTTATGAATTCAGGGCATCTTTCACACCAGTGGTTGAGATCCAGTGTAACTGAAATTAGGTGCAAAGGATGGCTACTACCCTAATCTAGAGTCAATTACCTAGCTAAATGTAGTGTGAGTTCTTATCTGTTCAGTAATGGTGGAGAGAAAAGGTTACCATCAAATTGGTGTTAGATCCTCAAAGATCCTCATTACCTCTGGTCTGATACTTAGATGTCTCTGCCTACAACTTAGGAATAACGTACTATATAATGTCATCTAAGTTTACTTTCTGGCTGTGCAACACTGCATAACTAATTACCACAGATTCTACCAATATGAGCCACTCAATGTTGGTAGTGTTGACAAACACAAGAAGATGACTCTGAAGTGAAAAGGGCAGCAGGCGGGAGGGCGGTAGAGTCTTTATGTGTGCTTCCGAAACCGACATCACGGCCCCGCACTGAAGAACTTCCTTCCTCCATATCAACACACACGCGCCCAAGCAACAAATACAGTCAAGATGCTTTCCCTCGTCCTGTCTGCCGAACTCAGCGGGTATGTATTGTCTATTTTCTACTAACTGACTCTTCCACCCATGCATACTTTTTATAAACCCCCCAAAAGTCACTTGCCATTTCCCCTCCGCAAAGATTCTTCCCCGCACCTCACCTAGAACGAACTCCAACTCACATATCCTCACCCCCAACAGCGTCACCGACCTCCGTCCCAAGGACACTGAGGAAGAGCCCTACTACTACACTTTCAAAGTGCAATGCACCTCTTGCCGTGAAACCCACCCCAACTGGGTCAGCTTCAACCGCTTCGTAAGTCCGCTTTTGCTTTTCCGTCCTATAGATTCCCAGACAAGGAAACTTACTATATATGCAGGAACAGCACGAAATTCCCGGTAGTAGGGGTGAGGCGAACTTTGTCTGGAAATGCAAGCTGTGCCAGGTGGGTTGACTTTTTTCTTCTAACCTCGTTCTCGCAACCGAGAGCACTGAAACATCTGAGATGATACATCAACTAATACTGACTGATACTAGAAAACCCACTCTGCCTCTATCACTGCCGGCCCCAATGTCTACGAGGCGGACGAGAAGCGCGCTGCGAAAAAGGTTATTGAAATTGACTGCAGAGGATTGGAGTTTACGGAGTTTAAGGCTGATGTAGGTAACTCTTGCCTCTCTTATATTTTCCCATCTTTTTGCGGTGCTTTTAGGATGCTCCTAGTTAGACTACAAAGAGATTATTTTAGCTAACTGCTTATATCAGGGTGAGTGGGAAGCAAAGGGAGCCGAGTCTTCTACGCCTTTCACCGGCATTGACTTGTCGGAGGAAGAGTGGTATGACTACGATGAGAAGGCTGGAGATGAGGTTTCGATTAAGGAGATCAACTTCCAGGTCGGAAGGGCGTAAGAAAGAGGAATCATGAGTGGTCCCTGTATTATCTTTTAACGAGAAATGGAGTGTAGTTTAGCCTGTGTAATCGACAATGGAGCCTAAGACGTCTTGATGCTGCTAAGTATTCTGTGTAAAACATTATGTGGGGATCAAGGGATACCAGTCAATTAGTCCCAACTACCATAAGAAGCTGATATATCCAAATAGTTCTACAACCAAAGAACTATATTATTATATTTAGATAGAGGAAGAATAAATGGCCTGGTGGATGCACCATTAAGCTGAGCTGATGAAATGCGGAGCGATATTGCAGTGTTCAGAAGGCGGTGTCTCTTTGTGGCTTCTGATTGGACGATACCCGCGTCTGGCGGCATCACATTTTCGCGGACGGCATCAGCTCCGTCAAGTTGGCTCTGCGATCTCCGATAGACTGCCCAGCTCTTTTACAGCACGCGACCAGCTCAATCTCACCTGGACGTGGAGACGGTCATATATTATTTCTAGCATTATCCGTTTCCTTTGGCGCGTCCATCCTCATCGACTTCCATATTTTACGATTTCCTGCTGAGCAGCTGGCATTGATTCGAGACCACCAACAATGAGTGTTCGTACTCTCCTATCCCAACTCCATTGAACCCGTCTTTATCTTTAAGCGTACACTCTTAATGTCATGGGGTGTAAGCTAACTCAGCGAATCTAGTTCAATCCTGTCAACCCCCGGCCTTTCCTTCAGGCTAGGTACGCACCCGGTCCCTTGTCGCTTGATCGCCCCGTCGCACTCCCATCTTATAACTAGCAATTTCTACCGGAAAACATTCTCTAATTCTTTTCGCAGGGTCGGTACCGAGGTCATCATCCGTCTCAAGTGGGGTCAAACGGAATACAAGGGCAAGCTTGAGAGCATCGATTCGTACATGAACGTGCTGCTCCGTGATACGGAAGAGTTCCTTGATGGAAAGAACACGGGAACATTGGGTCTGGTGCTGATTAGGTGCGTTTATTCGGTCGGCTGCTATCTTGGAGGCTGGGATTTCTGATACCAGTGCTGGAAGCTGGGCATCCGTTACCCCTCTTCTGAGATGCTCGTATACGCATATTGGGAGAATATCTACTAACGCAATGCATTGATAGGTGTAACAACATCCTCTGGATGGGCTCAGCGGACAGCGTGGAAATGACGGACCTGGGACTACGATAGACGAAATCGGGCGCTATACCAGGCAAATGAAGACACATATACCAATAACTCTTCCCGATAAGATACGCGCACATTGGAAAGGTGCTCAGAAAGAGGCATATTGACGGATTTTCATGTACGGGTTATTAAAGCAAGCTCCGTCCTCTACTTTTCTTTATTTCTGGACCAGGCGTTTTTTACATTGATGGCTTTCGAGGATTGATTCGGGGGAAATGCAGTCTGAATTGTGCGGAGCTTGCTGGAAAATCTGACGGTCAAGGACATAAGAGAATAAGATCTCTCTGATTCTGGTTTCCTACTTACTATCTGGCACTGAATCACAGGTGTGTGGTTATTCATCCGCAGCCTGTGACGTTTCTATGTGCCGCTGAATGTTCCTGTCAAGTACCTAGCCACCTAGACGAATAAGATAATTACAAAAGGCAACGGTTTGGAAGTACCTCAGTCTAGTAAGTAGTTCATTGCACGTACTAAGTAGCCTGGGGCCAGTGTTGTTTGCCTTGGATTACGGCCAGAGAGAGCCTCTGCTTTACCCCACTCAATCATATCGTTCACGTCAACATCCCCTCCGCATTACGCCGCCCGCTTCGCTGGACAGCCGTAGCCTGAGACATATTTCAAGGAAAAGAACAAGAAGTTACCGACAATGTTAGTAGGGAGAAGCCAATGGGCTCAGAGCGAAACGTAAACCGGATCGGTAGAGGACGTTGATGGTAGAAACTGAATGAAAAGAAAGAAACTTGACTGGATACTATATAATCACTAGAATATGTAAAATACTCTGATTCTCATGCTAAACATAAATCTTATCTGCCTTTTGGGTTACCTGCTGGGGGTAGTTTTCCTTTCTTTTCTGAATCTCAAAATTTCTCAGTAAACGCACAAACCTCTCTGGGAAGGTTTATATCATTGTTATTTCTAGGCTTTTATAAAAACCCGTTCCCTTCGAATCTAGCGTACCTCAAAGATACCAATATGCTAATACTTAAGAAGAAAAAGAAGTTCATGCAATAAGTCAGTGTGGCCGAGTGGTTAAGGTCAGACTCGAAATCTGATGGGTTCGCCCGCAGATTTACAATACCTTTTTGAACTTTCTCTATTCTTCTTCCCCCCCCCCCCCCCCCTCCTTCTTTTTTTCATTTTTTTTTTGAACTTATCTCGTTATTGTATTAATAACTACTTTTTTCTATGTACGTAAACGGCCTCTCTAGGAATCAAGAATAAACTGGACGGCAAGGCCTCTACTGAGACCGGCCATATCAGGTATATGAAATGATATATCATAAAAAAAGAAAAAAAGGATATAAAGAGATTGTTTTTTGTCGTCAGCGACAGGATTCGTAAGCAAAATTATGACCCTGAGCGCCATCAAATTGCTCGAACTCACAAAAAATATGAATGAATACCTAAAATATCACGAACTGAAGCCACGCGTACATAGGGAAGCAAAAAAAAAGAGAGAAAAAATCAAACAAATGAACGATATGCAGAAGTTTAAGGATGTTACAACACACCAGCCAGTTGCCTGCGACTCTTCACTCTTTGTCATCCTTTAGCCATCCCTTGATATAATATATCAACTTGCACGTTCATAGATCTCAAGTGCTCATGGATTCGCGCCTCCTCAAACGGGGAATAGTTGATTCCCTTGATCAATGGAGGAACGAGCGCATATCGAATTAACCAGGTGACCTAAGACGTCCAGAAACTTGATCACATTCTAATCTGCCTGGGCGTAGAGAAGAGGGGCAAGGAGCAACTTCAAGAGCTGCAGAGCTAGTTAGTGTCTCGTCTCTACATAATCTTTAGACTGAATCATGTACATACCCATTGCTCAAGTTGATCCTCATGCTTCCGGTATACTTTGAACTGTTCATCCAACCTCTCTGTAAAAAAGTAAGTCTTAGGCTTCTTGAGAAGCCTTGGGCCTGACATACCGCTTGTAATGTATAGAACGCCATCGAGATCCGAATCATTTCTCAATTCGTTCAAAAAGTCTTCTGCCTTCGGATCGTTGCCAATCTGACTGAGTTGAAATCGAACAACTGTCCTGGTCAATAATGGATGAAAGTAGTATTGGAGTAACTCACCATCTCGTCGGTACCCATGCTCTTTCAACATACTGCCACATTCTTTAATGGTTTCCTTCAGGGTAGAGCGCCTTTCGAGTGAATTATGGTCCCCTTGAGGGTGCCCGTCGGTGACGATGGACACCAGTACGGGTCGTTTCAGGTTGTTTTCTCGCAGAGGCTTATACACATTATCCTCGAGGACCTTCTTTTTGAGGTTGAGACCAATTTCTGTCCATCCATGAAAACGATTTCGTTGGATAATCTGTGATATCTCTTCCATTGTCGGCTTTGACATCGCCTTCGTTGTATCCTCATTGATGAATCGTAGTTCTATACCTTCATCGTCCGGTACGACCCGAGTGGTGATGCTGGCGATTCGCTGGGAAAGACCGTCAAGGTGTTTACTTCGATCCTCCTGGTTCATGGAGCTGCTGTCGTCTGCTGATTATGAGTCTCAACGTGGAAAGGGAAGGATGTGGAACAGACTTACCACAGTATAGTACAGGCTGATAGAAAGCCAGATGGGCAAGATCCTTCACATCAACAAGATTGTCTGGGTCACGGTTCAGATCCACAGCTTTCTCCACAACAGTGTCAATGAACGGACTACCGCTGGGAAAGAAATTTCCGAGATTGTTTTCTTTGACGATATCACCCAATTTCGTCTTGAGATCATCCCTCTCTTCTTGCTTATCATCATCGAATGTGTTTGCTTCGTTGAAGTACTGTCGCCATTATTGAAAAAGTTTCAGCAGCACATTCACGTAGGCCAGCAGAGTTTGTCTTACCTTTCTGTATCGCTCTTCCACTTTGCCAGTTACCCTGAATCGTTTAAAAATGGCATCCTTGCAGACCAGGGTCGCACTCGTCACTGCCCCAGCAGTAGCAGCTGCCATTAGATTCTTGTTTGCCCAGAACACAACCGCCATAACAAAACTAGTAACTTTGGCCACCTCGGTTGTGCGGTCCCGGAACCTGGTCCAATACGGCCTCATGGCGTTCAGAATCTGCGGTCGACCTTGCGCCAGATCCTCAGCGGACATGCCATTGACTTTCATAGTCGGGTCTGCTCCATTGTCAACAAGAGCGCTGATGACTCGAGGAGACTTGTATGTCTTCACAGCTTGGATCAATGGAGTAGAGCTTTTATCGGATGAGACTTTCGAAGGGATTCTTGGATCGGCGTTTTGGCTGAGAAGAATCTGGATCAAGCGTTCGTAACTGTTGGCTTTGTCATTTCTGTGATTGCAGGCTATCCATAGGGGAGGACGACCCCGCTCAAGGCCATTCGGATCGGCACCCTGTTTCAAGAGCAGTTGAGTCGTTGGGATATCACCTCTGAAGACAGCGACGCCTAAAGCGGTCTTTTTGCTAGCATCATTGTAGTCGTTGGGATCCTTTCCTTTTTGCAGCTCGTTCTCGAGTTCCTTCACCTTGCCAGATTTGGCAAGTTCGTAGATGCTTGTCATGGTGCTGAGAGATTTGCGGATTTGGATCTTGTAAGTTGAGTTATTGGAATGGACGCTGCTGGCTATAGTACTTCTTATAAGCTGAATTGGGCTCGAACTAATTTCCGCATGTATTCCACCGGGGCAGGGCAGAGGTTCTTCCCAAGGAGCGCACATCCATGCTCGAATGTGGCTGGCTGAACAGCGGCGTTTACAGTTCACGATGTCTTTCATTTCCTAAAACCCAACCTATCATTTAGACCTAACAAGATCGGCGACACCGAAGCAGTCGAGCCGGATACCTGATCCGTGAGGCTGGGGCAAACAGACAGAGTGGGCAATGTGCGGCTCATGTCGTAATGACAAACATCAAAGGAAGGAGATATCTATTTCGGTACCTGGTTGCCTTGCGCACCTAGCGTCAACTTATCATCGTCCTTGATGATGCCCGACATGAGTGGCTTCTGATAAGACGATGCAATGTGCTCCTGCACTATGCTACAACGCGATTACCTGAGCGGATGTTACTAGCCATCGTCTCTTCCTCCGAACCTGCATCCTAGTACTAATCAGTATTACTACATTACTATACCCGTGAGCGGCTGGCCATTCTTTAGACTGGTGAAGGAGTCAAGCTCGACGAAGTACCCCTGTTATGGTGATATTTTGAGGGCTGAGACTTCGCAGTACTCGATACCGGTTGGCGGACATTTACTCCGCGGAGAACGTTCCAATGCCATTCAAGCAGTGCACGGGTGCCGTCAAATCCGTTTCAAGCTAATGGCTTCTGCAGGATGAATTCATTGGACACCTCGATGCGAGTCCGGAACTAATCCCCGATCCCCGACGCCGGGAAGTGCTCTTCTTTACCCGATTCGAGGCTTCAGACCCACTCGGGCAAGTGGCAGATATCACGATGCATTTCGGGTTCCTCAGCTCTACTCCGATGCTAATCCAGTGGCGCAGTTTGACAGCCCCCACGGAGTGCCTACCGGATACCTTGTACCAATTGATCCATCCACTTGATGGACATTCTCCTGGACCCGCCTGCGGGCCGAAGCCTATGACACCTCCAGCACGGTAACCCGCTCCCTCCATACTGTGTTTACACTGGTACTGCCCTAGTCGATTGAGAATATCACACCGTCAATCCATCAGAGCCTGATGGTTGCCTTAATATTCCTGTCCTTACTGGGCCATCTTTTGCCGGGCATGAACGTAGCGGCGCCATTGCACGCGTTGCCTCACTCCTGGCAGTTCAGTTCCTCCACAGATAATGCTGGGCATCGTTCGTGCATTCGAGTAAACCATTGGCTACCTAAGGGGTTCGAGCACGACAAAGTATTGAAGTTCCTACCCATCCTGACATGGATGCATCCTGGTATATGCACCCCCACTCGTTTCTTTTGATACATAAGTACCATCGTGTATTGTAACGTTGTCCTGGGATCAACTTAAATTGATCTCTCGATGCCAATGCCTCCTGCATGCTCATCATCATCATCACATTCCATTGCTAATTTTCCATCTATCGCAATCCACTCAATCCCTCAGCTGAAAAATTATCCTCACGATGAAGTCAATCCATATCCTCCGATCCGAGGAGATCGGCAACCCTGATGCCGCCGAGGACCTCTACGGCCTTGGGGTACGACTCGGGTTCTACCTTCAAGCCCTAGCCATGATCCTCTACATGTACGGTGACCCTAAGACCTACGGAACAGGGCTGAAAATAGCCTCTGGAAGTATCACTGTATCCGTGTTAGCCTCTTGGCTCGATTATGCAGCTCAAAGCCAATTCAGTCCAAGCGAAGCAATCATCGTCATACTCTACCTCATGAGCTTGTCACTCCCCGCCAAGTACACCCTTGTCAACCCGTGCACTATCAAGGGTGAATCAATCGGCATTCTTACCCTCATTCTCACTGAACTAGCTACTTGCGCTGCCCTTTTATGGACCTTTGCGACTCTCGTAAACACATTGCCGCGATTGGGGACTCCCAATGTGACTTTCTTCTTCGCTTCTGTGTCTCTTACGGGATGGTTCCGATATCTTGCCCTCGTGTATTGTGTTTTCGATGCGACAACCTCACTAATTAGCGTGAGTAAGATGTTCCGGATTTTGCATCTCGCCTGGAAACCGGATGCAAGCAGCGACGAATCGTTGATGAAGAACCTTCAAGAGATTATCCAATGGGAGGAATGGCTGATATATGTTGTTTGGCTAAACTGGGCTTTCGCAATCATCGCTATTGAAACGACCCTGGTGTGGAATCACTTGACTCCCTCGAACGATCTTGGATCACCCGGTCAGCTAATTCCATTTGTAACGGGAATCATACTGTTGCTTGATAGTATAGCTGTCGTGGCAAAGGAGCATTTTATACGGTATTTGGAGATGGCCAACCCGATCTGGAATTATTGGTTATTCGTTTCATGGCTCCTTGGTCAGGGCTATCGCGTCTATGAGTTATTTAAGCTGCATTCGGTACGCAAGCTCCCTTATAGGCAAGATGAGGAGAGTGGTTCAGGGTTGGAGAATAAGAGCGAAAGCGGGAGCAGCTGCTAGTTGTTTAAGTCATTGTTGGAGCCTGTCTATAATAACTATTTCTATGGAAATCTAAGGCAATTGATAGAAAAGATGGAGCTCCTACCACCACTTCTACTACTCCAAGTAAAATGCAACGTACTAGATCATCAGCAAATGTAAACCCGAGTAGCACGGGAACTACTTACTCTAGTCTTCCCGTGCATCCATCTTTCAAAAGTAAGTCCTGGGCCATCCAATGTTCCCTCTTCTCGATCCAACTCTGACATCCCCTCTGATGTCATGCGCAAAGCCCACAAATTGCTCGCTCTTCCCACACCCCTCCTTAACACTACGTGGAACACATCTGCTGCCATCTCTTTCCTCTTAGGTTTACCCTTTTCTAATTCAGCAAAACAGAATGACTGAAGCTTGTCTGTAAGCTTGACACTCTGTGAAAGGGTATCCCACAACACCCACTGCTGCGTCATCCTGTCATCGGGCCAGTCTGGCGGTGCAACATGTTGAAAGACATGCAATGGCATCGCATCTCTATTCGGTGTCGATGCATATGCCGGAAAGATATTGAATGTACAGTTCAGCTCCTCTCGACTCCAATGGACCCAAGCGCATTCTTCTTCGGACATAAAATTCAGGTACAATGGTTCTGCTGGCTCGCCCTTTTGCTCGATGGCTTTTAAAGCCTTGCCACGGTGAAAGACATCCACCCATTCGAAGATCTGCTGAAAGGTCTCTAAGCTCAGCCGGGCTCCTACACTTCCTTTCTTGCGCCCGGTCTCGTGCTTTGCGTCGGGTCCGTTGTTACTATTGTCGGTCAGAATAATGATAATGTCTCTGTTAGATAATCAGGTCAACGCATCATACTCACTGGATGGCAACGACTGTTTCATGACCATGATATGCTACCCACACCGGAGAGCCACTCACTCCCGGCTCTGTGTCAATCTCATATTTCAAGCTATTCTTAGCAGATCTCAAACACTCCCCATTGCTTGATCTGGCTCCCTCCGATATGTGAATATTGTCCGACTTGTCTGGAAAGTATCCCGTGAGCTCCAACCTTTTACCGACGAAGTTTTCTTCGCTGAGCGTCAATGAAAAACCAAACCCCAGTTGTCGCTTCTCAGTCGGCCTGCTTTTGCCCTTTAAGGTGCCACCAGACTGTGAAGGTAATGCCAACCCGTCCGCCACATTCTGAACCTCTTCCGGCACGATGATCACTCCGTAGTCATGATCGGGATCCCTCACTTTGCGAGATCGGGTGTATGCAGGGCAGACGTGCCATTCAAGTCCGGTCGCATCGATAGGGTCCCTCCCACAACGTTCGATAGAAAGATCCAGGGACGGCTTGTTATTCGCATCTACCAGATTATGCGCGGCTGTCAAGATGACGTATGATTTTGCCGTAGGGATATTGATGTAGAAGCCTGTTCCGAGTTTGATATTTCCTGTTACATATGGTGAGTGTGGCTATTAGCCTTCCCATCTGATCAATCCATTTGCTAACCCCTACCATCTCTTTTGAATCGCAGTTTGACCACCCAGTCCTCGAGCGCTTGGGCGCTAGCGCGGTTCAAGCCTCTAGTATCTTCATCTTGTGGCAGTGAGATCCAGGATTGGTCCCATACTAAAGGGTTGAGCCCGTCAGTGTCTTGCGCCATATGGAATTGTGGATTCTAAAATGTTCACAACTGATGTGAGTTCCAAGAACTTCTCTCGTGGTGAGAAAAAGTAGCCCACACTACTTACAGCCATGGCAATGACCGATGGACCACATGACACGCTATTGACTCGCTGAATAGTATATGCTGATAACAAAGTACCTATCTCGGTCACTCCCAATTTCGGGCGTCTATTCATCTACCCTGACCCCTGCTCTCTACCTTTCTCGCAAGGCTGCGAACCTCAACTAATGCAAGTTACCCCCACCCAGCTGAAGAAAGAAATACATAGACAATGATATTTCAGGTGATACGGTATTTTACGCTCAGCTGGACATGCATAACTAGCTACAGCGGCTGACTCGTTGGTGCTTGCGCGATTAGTGTGACTACGCCTGCACTACATTGCACATTGCAGCACTTGCATAGACCAACCACAAGATATCATCTCACCCCCCTCTACCCATTGCAGATAAAAACTCTTATCTAGCATAGTAGTTCTACTCATTGACTCATGGACCTTATATATCCCTACACTACCGTGCAATGGCCCATTCCATCAGCAATTCTCGCAGTTTCAAAAGATGGAAACCACTCTCGAAGACATCGCCTACCTCCTCACAATCCCCACGGGAGCTTTATCTCGAGATGGATCCACCATGTACTTTGTCGTTGTTGACGATGGAGTCCTAGTTGAGAAATACTGGAATGGGAATGAAATAGTGCGACAATATTTCATCTCAGAAGACGTTGCGGAGTCGCCTTCTGCGAAATATCTGTTGAGTGATGATGTTGTAAGTATCGCAAGGGATCCGTAATCTTATCAAAACTACCAGAGTATCATATACTAACCTTTGACTCCAGCGCCGCATATTCTTCCCCTCCGCCGAAAACGTCCTGCAGTGCTACCAATGGGACGAGGACGAAGAGGAATGGGATGAAGTAACTCTTCAGGCAGATAATACCCTTAAAATCCACCCGAAGAGTAAGATCAGTGGGGCTTTCAACGGAGATGATCAATTGATCTTTTTCCAAGATCCTTCTGGTCACTTGCAGGGTCTTCGAATTGATCAAAGTGGGAAATGTAGCGCGCTTCCTCCTTTGTTGGCAAATACTCCAAAATCTCCCCTCGTCCATACTGCATACGAGGCGGATGATGGTCCCATACACGTGTTGTACTTTGATGGTGAGACGAAAGTGATTCGTGATCTAAAGTGGGATGGTCATTCAAAATGGCAGGGTAGGTTGCAAACTACCCCCCCCCACCCCCTCAGATATTCTTAAGATGTCCGTTAATGTACAGCCAAGATACAATCGCGAATTCCGGAGAATGTTTTGCCAACCACGAAATATCCTCCTTCGTCAAAACGTCTTCGAGTGAGCAGGATCCAGGGTTACTGGCCATCTCAACGAATAACATAGTCCTTTATATCGATTCACTTTGTCAAATGGTCGAATTAGGTACTTTTGACCGTAAACGGTTTGCGGCCGCAACGAGTGAGGAATGTATTAATGAGACGTTAACTCTGCTCAAGAGTGTTGTGGACAAGTTCGGTGGAAAGAGACAGAAATAGTTGGTTGAGATTCTATTATACACTTGATATATGTGCGATGACAGTGTGTGTGGATAGGAGGATGTTTATCATGCCTTAATGATAATGACTACTTTTGCATCAAACAGTTATGATGACCGTAACCAGGGATCGGCCAAAAGCTCTCTTGCTGACTTCCGCTCATTGGGAATCCATTTGAGGGCTTCTCGAAGGAACCGGAGAGAGAGTTGCTGTGGTTGCCCTTGCAGATTTCCTTCAAGCTTCTCTAGCGAGTCAGTAGGGACCTCAACAGCTCCCTTCCAAATATCTATACAATAATTAGTAGGGTGTTTTGCGATTCAGAGTAGATACGTACCCTCGGCGTCGAAGAACGTGGTTGCATATGTACTGTTCTGCACCATTTCTTTCGGTGGCAGTCCCATGATGGCAACCATTTCAGCGAGATGATGAGCATCAGAAGGGTTTTGGTTAGGACCTCGGCCGTAGAACAGATGTCCTTGTTGGAAAATATCCCAGGTCTGTTGCCATTTCGGATTAGTAGAAGGTCTGAGATCAAGAGACAGATACCTACCAATACTCCAATATTCCAGATATTCACCTTTTCATTCCAAGGCATCCGCAATATCACCTCAGGTGCCCGATATATGTAAGGCTGGATATCCCCAGAGTAGAATTCCGAACCAAAGCCAGCCTGGTTAAAATCACATAGTGTTGGACGACCATGTTACTTGGTGTTTCTAAGATTCCGGGATGTGTAGATCTCCCGATCGCCAGCAAATTTGCGAGGGCTGGGATTGGATCTTTCTTCTTCTTCGAAGTGAGATAGAATAGAAGGATCTTCAATTCCCATCATGATATTCTTTGCCTGGATATCTAGAGACCAGCTTAGTAAGGTCCCCCCTTCTTCAGCAACACGGGAGGGATATCGTACCTGTATGGACAATTCCAGCCTCCATATGGAGATAATCCAGAGCAAGAAGAAGTTGCATTAGTCAACTTGACTATATACTATGGAAGTACTCTGGCCCGGAGTTGGGTGCGGAATTCGTGCAAACTCATTCCAAGGGGTGGATGGACGAGACATCCGAACGTGCCCTTCTCGGATGCGATCTGGAAGCTATCTAATGCTTTCCGGATAAGCTTGGCACCAGCATGATCAGGTACATTAAGTGAAGTCAGATGATCGTAGGCTGACATCTCTCTTTGTGCTTCTGGCGAATTGCACTCCAAGACTTTCAGCGTGACACATTTGCTGCGCTGACTATCCGGACTAACTAGGTCAGACTTACCGCATTGATTGTGATTAGGTGTAGGATTCGACTAACCACAGATCCCTGGACAACCAGATGGTTGAGTAACCCCCGTAGCCCAGTTTTCCAACGACTTGATACCGCGATTGGGAATACCTCACCAACTCTCACAGGATAGAATATCTCGGGTGAGTACCATGGCAGGGTTTCTTCCTCGACCTTTCCGGTTGGATCGAGGAGAGGGTGAGTGGATTAGGAGTAATTCCGCACAGGCCAGAGAGGACATGTAAACAGGTGACGACTGTAGTGAAGCCGTCTGGATAATTGAGGTTGCACGCAGTATCTCCATGTCATAGTGAGAAGACTGGCGAGGAGAAATACAGATGGTCAGTTCAGTTGGTGATAATTCAGCCTTGTGTTTCCAGATGCAGTCACATGATCCGCTCTCTGTGTGACAGGGCATCTGTTCCACAACCAAATGACTCAAGATATATTTCTCAGCCTGATGCCTTTGACCCCGCTATTTGTGAGATATATCATAGCCTTGCCTGCAATCTGCGGATCTTGCTACCAAACCAGCATCCTATCTTCCTGCTTCGGCATACTCCACTACAGGTCTACTCTTCATTCCAGTCTACTTCTTATCCTCCATCAGTCTGTCACATCTTCACCCTAAATCATGCAATCAACCACCATCATGGAGGAACACGAGGAGTCCGAGTATCTCGAGGACTCTGAGGAATCTGAGGAGTCTAGCGACATCTCGGATGGCCAGCCCGAAGGGAACTACTTTTATTACGATGACCTACCAATCTTGCCAACCTGTTACGTGTATGTCGCTATACTACCAGGGAACGGCGTATTGAAACACTGGATGCTTTACATCGACGCCCCAACCTACACCGAAAAGCCCATTATCCACCTTGTCGGATCCCCAGGTTCTTACCGAGTGGAAACACGATTCTTGACGGATGAAGATGAAGATAGATTCATTGACCGTGTTAATTTGTGTGATATTCCAAATCGACAGGGGGTTTACGATGCTATCATCAATGCTGGAGAACGTGCACGCGTCAACAATCAAGATCCGAGCTATAATTCTCAGGTCTATATTCTTAGGCTTTTGCGTACATTGGAAAGGCGACGCATTGTCAGCAACAAAGACCCAAAGTATAAAGAGGCAAAGAAAAAACTGAAGAGAAAACAGCAGAGGCCGATCGTTATGCAGTGAATGGATGTTAAGTCGTTACTGCCTAGGGTGCTGATGCGTTGCCGTTGGCGTTCTTCGTTCAGTATGACTTTGCTTTTGAAAGGGTACGCGTAATTTGGAACATCTCGTGCCCCCTTATTTAGGAATATCAATGAAATCTTGAATCTGTTTTCCACTATCACATTTTTTAACCACAGTTTAGCTGTCTGTATGGCATTCTCCATAGGTTCTAAGCTCATCGGCACTATGCATAAGTGACAAGGCTAGCGTGGGGCTGTTACCAATGATGTCGAGACTACACACCCCTTGTGATGCAGGTGCTGGGAAGAAAGGAATCTTACTAGTTTGTTTAAGCGAACATACGGAAACTAGGGTGAGGGGTAAGGTGGCGGTCCAGGCTCTGAAGCCATCTTTGCCTCACTCTTGCTCTTCCAGAATATTTTCGCATCAGTGACTGCCACCCCCGAGAGAATGCCTTTCCGAAAGCGCCTTAAAGACTTAAAGGCGACTCTCCGCCCACCAACAAGCTCCAGTCTGAATGTCTCTCAAGATACAAGTACTGCATCGCTGGGTTTGCACAAGACTCCAGTCGCTAATGCGAGTTCTTCGAATACTCCCGATCCTGTCCCTCTGAAGCTTGAAGGTCTGTGGAAAAAGGCTTACTCGGACCTCCGAAATAAGAATCCAGACCTGCTTGTGCAGTATGAGAGGATCCTTCTTTTCAACACAGAATTGGACAGCTTGCATCATGAGAGTCGAGTAGAAGGTCATGACATTGATCCTCGACTCGAGTCTTGTGTAAAAAGGCGTCTCGAAGCAATTCAAAAGTCACGGCTTAAGATATACATCAGAGGAAGAGAAATTGAGGTCAGAAAACAAGTGCGTCGCGTCGTCGGGGGGATTATGTCCATGAAGGACATTATTTCCGCCGCAGTGAGCGCAGAGTTGCATGCCTCTATAGCATGGGCGGGTGTTTTGTTCCTTCTAGATCCGCTGGCCAAATCATTCCATCAGAATGAGGACGCCTTGAATGGATTTCAGGCTGTATCAGACCTGATGATACGATATGCATTTCTGGAGAAGAGTCAGACTAGAATCTATATGCAATCAGGCTCCAGAGTAACCGAATCGGCTCAGCATCTTGCAGAGCTGGTGAGGTCCAAGACAGTCGAGTTATATGTCCTTATACTTGAGTACCACATCTGTCTTGCCACTCACTTCAGTCGTTCAGGGTACAAGCGATTCTTAAAGGATTGGGTAGATTTTAATAAGTGGCGCAACCTGCTCGAGTCGATAACGTGTCTTGATGGGAAGATTCGCCAGAATTTGACATTAATCGCTGGCGACGATATCCAAAAGATGTTCAAGGAATTGGAGAAATCACAGCAGATTGTGATGACCACACTCTCTGTGTTGAAGGAAAATTTCAAGGTATGACCTCCTCGAAATAAATGGAGATCTGGACAATAGAATCATACTGATGCGAGGTGATCATGACAGGAGGCCAAACAAAAGGAACTTCTAGATGAACTTCCAGTGGTCTCGAAGGCAAAATATGGATCCTTCGACGATGGAAACAAATCAGAATGCCTCGAGGGCACGCGGACGGAGATACTTCGTGAAATTCAGTGCTGGGCTGAGTCTCCGGATGATTCCCAGGTGTTCTGGGTTCGAGGAATGGCAGGAACCGGCAAGTCTACAATCTCCCGTACCTTTGCCGCTGCGTGCCAGGAGCGCAAGTCACTTATTCCTCATGGACCCTCTCTTCCGGTGCACCTCTATTTCGGTGCCAGTTTTTTCTTTGATAGAAGTGAGCCTGGGCGCAACACCGTTGAAAAGTTGTTTCCTTCTGTCTCCAACGAGTTAGCATCATCATTCCCAGATTCCAGAGACAAGATATGCCAAGCAATCTCAGAGAACCAATCTATCGGCACTCAGAATTTGCGCAACCAGTGGCACAAGTTAATTCTAGAGCCACTTTTGACACTTGAAAAGGAGCTACTTCTACCTGTGACACTAGCATTGATGCTAGATGCACTCGATGAGGCCGTATCTGCGGACCCTGAGGAGGCCGGGAAACCGGCCCATGATATTGGAGGCGTCCTGAGGCTTCTGGCCACAGCTGGTAAGCTGAGGACTATTCGGCTGAAGATATTCCTCACCAGCAGGCCAGAAATATACTCTCTGTTTTCTCATTTTCTTTCTGAAGAGGTCAGTGTCAGAGACTTCGAACTTCGAAAGACCCCAATGACGTCTGAGGCGGCCAAACTTCCGAAAGACGACATAACCTTGTATCTGGAGCATCATATCAAAGAAATTGCATCCCATGCGACCATCGACATTCCTAAGTGGCGTGTGAAGTCTACCTGCTGGCTCAGTCAGGATGATGAAAGGAGAATTGTCCGCACTCTCGCGGATAGAAGCGATGGCCTGTTTATTTATGCAGCTACCGCATGTCGTTTCTTGGATGGGGTAGACGACTTGGAAGATTTGCAAGCACGCATGCGAGAACTATCTGCAGACGACTCGGGAGAATCACCACAGGAAATTCTGGATCGAACATATAGTCAGATTCTGAAGTATTCTGTTATTCACAGCTGCAGGAAAACGAAGACTGAGAAAGCCGATTTCTTTGGGCTTTTTAAACGGATAATTGGGGCCGTTGTTGTCCTAGCCGAACCTCTCTCGATTGCACCTCTCGAAGACCTTTTGGATTTGTCTGGAAAGACAAAGAAAATTCGAAGGTTTTTGACTAGTCTGAGCTCTGTTGTCTCGTTTGGGGATAATTTTGAATTACCTATCCGATTGCTACACTTGTCCTTTCGCGAATTTCTTCTAGGTCAGCCTCAAAGACGATGCCTTTATGACGAATTCTGCATTGACCCAAGAGAGGCCCATAAGGCCTTGTTTAAAAGCTGCGTAAGGATTCTGTCGAGTACACTGAAGCAGGACATTTGTTCCCTTGATGACCCGTCCTTCTTGGTCAAAGATATTGATACATCTTTGCTGGATCAAAATCTTCCAGTCTCCGTGAGATATGCTTCCCAATATTGGGCGCATCATCTCCAACAAGCTGGTTTCGAGCCGCTTGATAATGACTGCGTGCACGAGTTTCTCAAAAAGCATTTCCTGTACTGGATCGAGGTCATGAGCCTTCTTCGAATAATACCGAAAGCAACTTTCAACCTCATCGAGCTGGAACGTTACCTTGCTATGTTACCGGTAGGTATTGTGTCAAATAACATCCGTTTAGTCATTTATTCACTCATTACTAACCATAATCTTACTTCATCTAGATTGAAGGGAGAGCCGGGCTTCAAGATATGGTGTTTGACATGAAGCGTTTTATGCTCGCGTCCAAGAACGAAATCGAAAACGCCCCTCTTCAAGTCTATCGTTCTGCACTTATTTTCTCCCCAAAACATAGCATTTGCCGAAAAACATTTCAATGTTTAATCCCACGAACATTTTCCAGGCTGCCTGAAATGAAGGACAAATGGGATCCTCTGCTTCAGGAACTCGATAACAGAGAATCTAGCAATTGCCTAGCCATGTCTTCGGATGGGCAGACCCTTGCTGTGTTGTGCGGGTCCTGGAATTGCCACAGGATCAGATTATGGAATCTAACTACAGGCACATCGCTATATACGATCGACTGTGGTGGGAATTCAGACTTCATTATGTTTCTTCCTGAGGACAAGCACATTCTTTCCTTCTCTGAGGGTTTGGAGGGTGTCCAAGTATGGGATACAGGTTCCGGGATGTTGCTCAGGAAAATCCTTCTCACGAAGGACGATGCCACCAATGGCGTATGCTCGGTACGGCCTCTTAATTGGTCATTCTCATCTCAAGGGTGTCTAGCAGCGGTATACCCTGGTAGAATGACCATTGGTTTGATCTCTGCAGCACAAGGGACACAGAAGATGATTCATGTTTCTACAGCTGTAAATACCATCGCATGGTCTGCAGATGGAGCCACCTTGGCAGTACCTCTGAATGATGGTAGTATAGTATTTTGGGATACAAGTGAGTCCAAATTCATACTATCGTTGAGCCAATGTTCAGGAATAGGGAAGGACTTCGAGATGACATTCTCCGCCAATGGTGAATTGTTAACACAAACACTATTGGATGACTATGTTTTAATCCGGCTATGGGAATGGAAGACGAAGACTTTGTTGGTGGAGATAATCGATGATTCACTAGAGTGGAGAGATTGCCAGTCCTTCGGCTCACACACCATAATGCATTTCTCCCCAAGCGAAAAACTTATAACAACCTGGCATCTTCTCACACAGCTTCAGAGGTGGGACAGCGAAACTGGCCAACGTTTATTGACAGTCCGTACGCCCAACCCGGTATGGTGCATCGGTAAGCTATCGCCAAACGGGAAATATTATGTTGTTGCATGGAAACAAGACTCTGGCAAACCTATCACCGAGCTTCTCGATTCGGCAACAGGCAAACTTTTGACGACCCTTAGAAGCACCACGCAACACTCGGGCTTTGTTTTCAATTCAGATAGTCGACTTCTTGTATCCGTCAATTTCAAAGGAATAATTCAAGTTTGGGATTTATCTTCAGAAATAAGACCGGAAGAGCATGCAGCTCGGCTAGACCCTGTATGTGGGCTCGCCTTGTCTCATGACCATCAATTTGCACTCTCGGCATCCATAAGCCAAATTCGTCTCTGGAACATCAGAACTGGTTCCCTTCTGCGGGTAGTAAAATATACAGACACTGAAGGATTTGCTGAGATTCTTGGGCAAGTCATGATCAGGGACTATAAAGGACCGATTTTAACAAATATGAAGACGGCAATGGAGGGAACGAACACTAATGGGCTTTTCGATGACCTCGTCGCAGACCTTTTCCAAGGCCACTTTCATGGTGATCAAGTAATGGAGATCAGTTCAGACGGCAGGCTTTTCGCAAGACCTTGGCTCTTACATTGCAAAGATGATTTCCACATCAAAGTGTGGGATGTAATAACTGGAAACGTGGTTTCCGCCATTCCTCGCGGTTACAACGGAACTCCCTCTTCGGCATTCTCTCCTGACGGTAGGCTTCTCGCAATCGGACATAAAGATAGGGATTCCAGAGCAATAACCCTTGAAGTATGGGATGTATTTGACGGGAGATATCGACATCAATGGAATACGGGTCTCGACGAGGAATTGAATGATATGAAGATTATCTGGTCCACCGACGGGACGAAAGTGGCAATCAACTGCTTCATGAATGTGTGCGGGCGACACAACCATCCCGCCGGTACTTTTATGTGCGATTTGGCGACAGATAAAGCAATCCTTTTGGAGAAATTGGGGGTCCGTGCTGCAATTTCCCCAAATGGAAGGCTGGTTGTTACTATAGATAGTGATGAAAGAAGCCTCTCCTTGTGGGAATCAGTTGAAGACAATCTAACTCTGCTTGGCCAGCGCACCGACATGAACTTGAAGTGGGACATGATTGGATCAGAGATCTTAGAGTTTCAAGGCGATGAGGTGGTTGTTACAAGTGAGAGTCGGATTGATGTTAGATCATTTTTATCAGATTGGGACTTGACGACCAGTCGGCAGATACAGGTAAAGGACCACTCAATTATTTATGGGTCGGAAAGAGTCTTTCTTCCCCTACATTACAGACCACGTGATGTGATTGTGACGAAAGATAATGTTTTTGTTATGAGGAACGAGTCTGGTGAGGTTACGTTTTGGGAGTTCGCAGATGAGAAGGCAGAGGGTTGAGATGTGCTTATGGTTGGAAAGTACCCCGTGTTACTGAGTTCCCAATGTATTTGTTTTGCTTTATCATTGTCTCTTCGAAAACATCAAGATTATACCCTAAATTTGTGTCGTGAATCTACCAGGTAGGAGGAGGGATGATTGTGTGAAATCTCGGTCAATGTGAATTTCCAGGCGCCTAGTCTGCCAACCAGGAGAATGACATTTGCTTTGGTGCCACTTCTGTTCTGAAATGAGTAAAAACATGTAGAGCGGTATGTTTGGTCGGATTGCATAGTTTAATAAAGCGTGGAGGCTGTCCCTATGGTCGACAACGTGAAAAAGAAAAGTCCATCATGGATTGCCTTACGACACTGTTGCCTGAGCTGCAAATCCAAGTCATCGAGTACCTTGACTATATTTCCCTGGTGGTTCTGTCACAGACGAGTCAGTACTTCCTGACTATTGTACAAGTTCAAAGCCCTACGACACCGCAACAGAAGATATTACATCTGTTCGCTGCAGAGGAATGGAAAATGCAAGGATCTACGCGAAGAAGTCCTAGTGTAACATCAACTCCATATATACTGATCTTTGCGAAAATGTAAACCGTTTCGCCTGCCCTTGCTGCTTCAAGATGCGACACAGAAGAGAGTTTGCCTGCTTCCCAATGAAGCGCGAGTATTGGGAGGGACAGGAACTACACAGTCGTCCACTTTGCCTTCAGTGTAGTCCGCCAAAACCCGACATATCAAGAAAGAATAGACATAGACCTTATTAGGTGTGTATGCCTCTATCTTGAGTTTCGCATTGGAGTTCTGGGAGTCATGATATTTCTTGCATGAGTGTCAGCCCCTTTCGAGAGGGTTTGCAGAGCAAAGAAATGCTTGATGCAGTGAGACAGAGACAAGGCAGCTCTGCAAGCAGTGAACCGATGAGATTGTCCTTCAATCAGCGATAATTTTTGATTTGATACATTAAATCCTCAAGACTAATGATAGCAAGTATTCCGTTGAACCATGGTAGACTCGTCACGGTTACTCGATAGTCACTTCCAATGAGAATGGTTGACTTTAGGATAGATCATTTGCTGGAATGATCTGAAGAATGGATGGTGGAGGGATCCTTCTAGCAATTATTATAAGCGACCTATTCAAGTTAATTGCTCAATCATCTTATATGCCCTAGTCCCCGACATATCCACAACCTTTTTCTCCAAGATCGTTGCCTGGTTGCCGCAAATCACCGGCTCATGAGGCAGAAGTCGTGGGAAGTCAGTGGATGGTTGATAAAGATGGGCGGGAAGAAGAGGTGCTGAGTAAAACATTATGTAATAGGAAGTGTCTTGTGTTATCACATGATGTCCCTGAGATAGTTAGGAGTAGACATAAAACAGTGAATAATATTACTCAAAATCATACTCCAAGCTCCGTATGCTCATGTCAGTATCGTTGAGGTTTTACCGGCCTCTATCTGCTTGGAAGAGGTATGAGAAAGTGAAGAGAGGAACCATTCGAACTGACCGAAGAAACCATAAGACTACGCACGTCTGTCTCCGTCACCTTTAATTAAAGGTAGTCTATATTGATTATTTGATTATCGTGCGGATCAGCCAAGTTGAACATAAGATAGGATCTTCTACTTGTGCGTTGGCATCTATTAGATACCTATCGCATCATCATTCGTGGAGCGAGGTTGAAGCCATGGTATGATCCCATGGATCCTAGCACATGTCTACCGCCATACCCGCAGCTGGCGAGAAAAATAGAGACAATATGTTTATTCAACATTATTAGTGGCATGGGTAGAGGGCTAGTAGGATCTCAGAGATGAATAGAGGAAGTAGACCGGGTGGATCTGCATTCAGGCGAAAGCTACTACACCCACATTTATCTAGCTGCATGTCTAGCCGAACAACACATTTGCAGGATCTAATCAGGTTGCCGTCGGGAAAGCCAAAAGGAAGCCGGTCACCGTATCTCTTGTTCCTGACACAGAGCCGAATATACTCCGTAAGTAGCTTGCAGATAACTGTAGGGTTATGGTGCCTGAGGTATCAATAGACACCTCAATAACGCTTCCCTGGCTATGAGCGAAGCCATTCCAATACATGTCTGTCAACTACAAACAGTGAAAGGTGTTTCATCCAAGCTCCAGCTCAGCAGGTCCTCGATGGAATGAAATCCGAAACACCGCTTCATCGGCGGGGGAAAATTCATCAATCGGGGATCCGCCGAGCTCCACCGATGGCGAAAAGCCAGAATCCACCGAGTGTCGCGTCGCCCGATCGAGCAGGCCTGCCGAATCGCAGATCCACGAGGGTCATGGCTGATTGCAATGTTGCTGTGATGATTGATTCAATCAATTAATCAAACAATGTAAACTGCATTGCTTCAAAGCCATTGAGTACTTTTGCAAAAAGCAATTGGAGGGTACGGAGTAGAGGAAGGGCTGCAGATCGCATGCATGTGACATCACGGGATTGATTTCTTTTCTTCCATTCGGGACATTCCAACCCTCACAGCTTCCCTGTCATACCGCTGCTTGCTCTTCGGCAGCTCAGGGCAACTGCTCCAGTTTTATACTACAGCCTACAGATCTCTCTTCTGTGTTCTACACCTGTATCATTATACCAAAGTTGAATGTTCCCGAGGATTGTGAGTGACCCCGCAACAAGGTTTCTTGCCCATTGATCGACATCATCACGATCGTCAACGCAACGGACACAGACTCCCAGGCTGCAGAAACAATGCAACCATCTGCAGTACATGGACAGCCGAGAGGGGTAATTTCCCACCACCTGCACCATCCGGCAAAAATAAGAATCAGCATTGCCCCCCGCACAGTGGATGGAGCCTCTGTTTTCTCGCGACTCCACCGGCCCGTCAGCGCCTTGAATGGCGGTGGCGACAAGCGACTGCGGGTACAAACTAACACTAAACACACACCGTGATCGAATTTTCCACCGCCATCGTCCATGCGCCCTCCCCCACGACTGTGATCTCCGCTTCGCAACGGATTCGGTGCTTTCTCGCTCTTACAACCGCGGAACCCGACGATGCTATCCGTAGTGGGGGGGACACAGCGCAGCGGTGGCACGTCATGCCTCGCAGCAATAATTGTAGTGGATGGGTTGGCAATGGGTTGTGTCAATACGGACTCCATTGCCCCTTATGGAACCCTTCTGGATTAACCATGGATGGAGCAGGTCAACCGATGCCACTGGTGATCCACGACCCTTTCGCCAGCCGCCATCCATTGGCCCGCACGATGGATCTGCTCCCCATCCTAAGGCTGGCAAAGTTCACCAACGCTGTGGATTTTTGCAAAACTCAGTTCCCCTATCTTAGGTTATCGACGTGTGCGGCCACCCTTAAATCCCCCGGACTTCCGGTGGCTGCTCCCTTGGCTTTGTTTCCCCAGATGCATTGGATTCAGTTTCAATTGCTGATCCCCCTTCAGTATGTCTCTCCCACTTCCCAATGACATCCTCCTCCTGGTCGGGGAGTACGTGGAAGACTATCGGGACCGCTACAACCTTCTTTTTGTGTGCCGTCATTTTCACGACCTGTTTCTGCGCTTGGTTTACCAAGCAGCTGCCCTGAAGGACTGCTCCCAGACGCGTTCCTTCCTGGGAGCTGTTCTCCGTCGTCCCGAGCTGGCTCGGGCGGTTCGCAGCTTGGACTTCCATGACTGGTGTCCTAGGTCCACCTCCACTCCTTCCTCCCCTCCCTCCGACGAAGATTTGGCGCCGTTTGCCCAATTGGCCTTTTCCCTCAGTCAAACCGCTGAAGAGCACACGAAATGGGAGCAGGATCTCCGGGACAATGTTGAAGAGGCTTGGATTGCGCTTCTCCTGCCGCTGGCGAGTAACCTGAGGCATCTGCAATTAGTGTACCCCAAGCAGAATATCTACCTGGACCGCATGATGCAGCGGGCAGTGAGGGGAGAGAAGCCTTTCGACGACCAGCCGGCATTCCGTGTGTTGCGGGATGTATCGCTGAGCCATTTAGCCGACGAGGAAGACAGTCGAGGAAGCTACATGACTTCCCAGGTCCTCCCTTTCTTTCAATTGCCATCCATGCGGGCATTTTCGGCGGACTCGGTGGTTGAGTCCACCCGCCCACGCGAGGATGAGCCTGAATCAACCCATCCGGTCGATGAGCCTACTCCCGGCTCTTCGTCCATTGCTGAGATTACACTGAACACCAGCAGTGGAGCTCAGGGCATGCAAAGCCTGATCGCCTCATGCTCTTCGCTCCAATCCTTCAAGTACCAACACTCCGATTCACACCTACTTGCAGAGGGGTTCCAGCCTTCTGCATTCTTCGAGTCCCTGGCGAGCAGTAAGAGCAGCCTGCACACCCTGTGGCTTGACAATTGCGGCACCCACTTGCCTTTCACCATTGCCGGAGCGAACGAGACGCACGACGAGTGGTTTGGACCTCTGACGGAGTTCACTGCGTTGAAGGATATCCGCATCCGTCTGCCCAACCTGCTCGATGTTCGCTACCAGTATGAACCGTCGTGCCCGCTCACCGATGTGCTTCCCGCGTCGGTCGAATCGTTGTACGTGGAAGGCTGCAAGGAGAATTCCTTGGCCATGCTGGTTGGACAGCTTCAGAAGGTCCTCAACAAGCGTAAGACGCAATTCAAAGGCCTGAGACGACTTGATGTTGAAGGCTTCTTCCACGACGAGGAGGACGAGGACGCGTCGGGCTACCAGCCGGCGGAGGCCGCCGGCGAGAGAGTGATCAAACCCCGGGTGTATCAGACGGTAGAGCCGCTGCATCGTGCCTGTGCCGAGGCGGGGATTGAACTCTATTTGCGCGACCGCGTGTGCTTGGCGACGATGCAAGAGGCATAACATTTTGACACGACCCGAGACGAGGATAGAGGATAGACGATAGATGATAGACTTGCGTTGCGCATAATACCCATAGACAACTGCTTACTGCTTTAGATTTCTTGATTTGGAATTACGCTTTTGTCAGCTAGATTTGGACTTATTTGAGTTATTGCGAATTGAATGATTGCATTGAATCGATAAGTTTTGGTCTGACAAAATACCTCAGCAGTAGGAATAGAGAGCCAACATCCACGGTGCCGAGGCCAAATTGGTTGGGAAGGTTACATCGCTCTGACACTGTTGGGTTCTATATGATAGGTTCTGAGCGTCACCGAAAACTCTACAGGTCATCTGCTGTCGCTCGTCCTCCGTAACACGCGATATGCTTGGATAGTGGCACTAGATAGCTTCGGCATTCCCCGAATGGGTTGATCCTGAATGCAACCCCCGCATTTCCACCCCCAGAATCTCAGATATCATCCTAGATGACGTGAGATGACGCTCCATTCGGATGTATTCACCAGGTGATGATCCTGGCTGAGCAAAGTGGATAAGCTCTCCCAACAACAAGAGCCCTGGACCCTTACCAGCGGGCTCTGTGTTTGTCTGCAGAATTTGTCTTGTTGACTTTCTCTTCTTTCCTTCAGTCGTCTTCAGGTCTGTGTTGTTCTGTTGCTTTCACCTCCACTCATCATCACTACTCTCATTTGTCTGGTCGTGACTGCTTAGTCTTCCGCTGGTTTGTTTGCTTGCTTGTGACGCGGATCACTGGGTTTCCCTGATCGCTACCATGTCGTCCCTGAGTGCGATCAATAACCCTGAGGACCCGCCCGCCGAGCAGGAGAAACCCGTCAATCTGAGAAGCGCCACTGAGAACGAGGATCCTTTCAGTCATGATGGTGTCGGCGGGGTGAAGTACCGCACTTTGGCCTGGTGGTAAGCGTTCATCACTTCATCTAGATGCGCTCTCACGGTTCGGAGCTGGCTAACTGTTCAGGCAATGTGCAATGAGTATGTACTGCCGGTATTCCCAACAAACCATCTCTAACCATCTTGTACAGTCATGGTCGCAGAGACAATCTCCCTGGGCATCCTGTCCCTACCCTCGGCCGTGGCGTCGCTTGGCCTGGTTGCGTGAGTTATGATTGGTATCGTCGACGGAGAGTGGCTTGGTGGCTAACTTGGCCTTGCACAGAGCCGTGATCCTGATCCTTGGCCTCGGTGCTCTGGCAACTTACACGGGCTATACTCTAGGACAGTTCAAACTCCGGTATCCGCATGTGCACAGTATGGGTGATGCCGGTGAGGTCCTGATGGGTCGCATCGGTCGCGAAGTGCTGGGAACTGCGCAGCTGTTGTTTCTGATATTTATCATGGGCAGTCACCTTCTGACCTTTACTGTGATGATGAATACTTTGACTGATCATGGCGCCTGTTCTATTGTGTTTGGCGTGATCGGCTTGGCGGTGTCGTTCGTCTTCACCTTGCCGCGGACGCTGAAGAAGGTCTCTTGGTTTTCCATTTCATGTATGTCCAGTCATAATACCTATGATAATGTGGAAGGCTTACAGTCACAGCTTTCATCAGCATCGTTGCCGCAGTATTGATCACCATGATTGCAATCGCGATTCAAAAGCCAGGTGGCGGCCGTGTTGATGCTGTCGTTGACAATTCATTTTACAAGGCTTTCCTGGCTGTCACCAACATTGTCTTCGCATACGGTATTTCCAAACCACTCCTTGAAGAGCAGAAACAAAGCTAACCAATCCAGCGGGGCACGTGGCCTTCTTTGGATTCATCTCAGAGATGCGCACGCCGACCGACTACCCCAAGACACTGTACATGCTGCAGGGGATCGATACGTCAATGTACACCATCTCGGCGGTCGTCATCTACCGCTATGGTGGAAAGGACGTGGCATCTCCGGCATTGGGATCGACCAGTCCGCTGATGTCCAAGATTGCCTACGGCGTTGCTATTCCGACGGTAAGCCGCCCTCCAGAATACTTGCATGAAAGTACTGATGAATAATGTAGATTGTGATCGCTGGCGTGATAAATGGTCATGTGGCGTGCAAATACATCTACGTCCGTCTGTTCCGGGGAACCGACCGCATGCACCAGCGCGGACTTGTTTCGATTGGGACGTGGGTGATGATCGGGTTGGTGCTGTGGACGTTGGCGTGGATTATTTCTGAGGCGATTCCTGTGTTCAACGATCTACTAAGTCTGATCGTAGGTTTTATTTCTCATCTTGTATGTTGTTGGACAAGGCTAACAGACGCAGACGGCGCTCTTTGCCAGCTGGTTCACATGTGAGTCCAAGCCCCACCGAGTCTAGAACCATCCCTGTACTAACCCATCCCTCAGATGGACTAAGTGGAATTTTCTGGCTATTTCTCAACTGGGGCCGATACTCCTCGTCGCGCCGCAAGATCCTACTGACCGGTCTGAACCTGCTCGTGGTACTTGTAGGTGGCTGCCTAGTAAGCATACAATCCACCACCTCATCACAATAACATCACAAGAATACTAACCAAAAAGTGCGCCTTGGGCCTCTACGTCTCTGGAAAATCGATCCATGACCACCCCAAAAGCACCAGCTTCTCATGCTCCAACAATACTTGAACCCAGCCGGTGATCGGATATAAGGAGCCGAGGGCCGATCGTCGGGTTAGGGAATGGTGCGAGTCAGGCACCGACAGATTGGATGATGTCAGTCCAAGTGGAGATTCTCTTATGTACAAATAAGCAAGCAGGTCTTGTTTTAATAGTATTGTATTGAGAGCCAATGGCTAGCGCCGATATGGCAGCTTGCCACCAGCGCGGATGACGTCGCCGGATCCGGTCGGATACGCCGTTTACTTTGACATCATCCCACCAGGTACATACATTAGGATAATGCATAATAAATACGGTAGTCAACGCACACAATATAGTAGCGTAGGAATAGCAGTTCGAGTTCATTGTGTCTATGAAACCATCATGGAAGACACACGCACGCACACTGCCTCCCCGGCAGAAGAGTCCCGTCGCAGCCATCACTCCAGCAGCACCTTACCGAGCGAGCACGATGATGAAGACATAGAGAAGCAGCGTCTCCACGAAGGCATGGCCGAAGGCACAAAGGACCAAAAAGACCCCGACCCCAACATCGTGGACTGGGATGGTCCAGATGACCCAGTATGTCCCCTTCCCACCCTCCTCCCCGACCCCATCTATACTCAAACCCAATCCCAAACCCTAACCACCCACCCACCCACCCATCACAGGATAACCCCCAAAACTTCCCCCGTCCACGCAAATGGCTCATAACAATAATCCTCGGGCTCATGACCATATCCGTAACCTTCGCCTCCTCTGTCTTCAGCACCGCATCCACCGTAACAGCGAAGCAATTCCACGTCTCCTCCGAAGTAATGGTTCTCGGTACGAGCCTCTTCGTGCTCGGATACAGTTTCGGCCCGCTCTTCTTCGGTCCCCTATCCGAGCTCTACGGACGCAAAACCCCCCTGTTCACGGGATTTTTCATTTTCGCTATATTCCAGATCCCGGTTGCTGTGGCGCAGAACCTCCAGACGATAATGATATGCCGGTTCCTGGGCGGGTTATTCGCTAGTGCGCCGTTGGCGATTGTCGGTGGTATGCTGGCGGATATATTCGGTCCCGTGGAAAGAGGTATCGCAATGGCGGCGTTCGCAGGCGCTACGTTCGTAGGGCCGGTCGCGGGTCCCATTGTTGGGGGGTTTATCACGATGAGTTATCTAGGGTGGAGATGGACGGAGTATATCACGGCCATTATGGCGTTTTTTTTCGGGGCTGTGGGGTTTGTAGTTGTTCCGGAGACGTTTGGGCCGACGTTATTGGAAAGAAGGGCGAGGAGAAAGCGGTTCGAGACGAGGAACTGGGCATTGCATGCGCGGTCGGAGGAGATGCCGGTTGATATCAAGCATATTGCGACTGTGTATCTCGTCAGGCCGTTTTTGATGCTTGTCAGGGAGCCGATTCTGTTGCTTATCACGTTGTATATGGGGTTTATCTATGGGTTTTTGTATCTATGTTTTGAGGCCTATCCGGTGGCTTTTCAGGAGTTGAGGGGGTGGAATGAGGGGGTTGGAGCGCTGCCGTTTATTGCCGTTGCTGTTGGGGTCGTGTTTGGGTGTTGTGTTATTGTGTTCTTTACGAAGACGAGGTTTCAGAAGGTGTTGGAACGGGAGGGACATATTGTTCCGGAGGAGAGGTTGATTCCTATGATGATTGGGGGGGTGTTGTTGCCTGCCGGCATGTTTTGGTTTGGTTGGACGAGTAATCCGGGAATTATTTGGGTGCCGCAGGTCATTGCTGGGGGGTTTTTGGGGGCGGGGATTTTGTTGATTTTTATGCAGGTAAGCTTTCCCCCTCTTTCTTTGGGTGTTTGTGGTGTGATGCTGATGGTATAGGGGCTGAATTATATCATTGATTGCTATAACATCAATGCCAACTCGGCGATTGCGGCGAACTGCTTCTTTCGGTCGGGGCTGGGGGCCGGGTTTCCAATGTTTGCTATTCCAATGGTGAGTTTGCTCTCTTGTCTACAGCTTTGTGAGGTTGTTAGTGAACGAGACATGTTGATTTATGATGCAGTTCCATAATCTGGGCGTGCCGTGGGCTATGACCCTGCTGGGATGTCTGACTGCCATTTTGTTCCCCGTGCCGATTCTGTTCTATATCTATGGAAGTAGGATTCGGTCCTGGAGTAAGTTTGCACCGACTGATTAGGATTCACCCTGTGGTGAGAGGACAGCGAGGTTATGATATAATATGATTTATTGTATATGTAATAGGTAGTCGGGTAGATACTATGCACTTCGATGTGTATAAAGAAATACTGCAATTGGTCCAAAAGATACTTCATACATCAAACAGAAACACTCATATAACAAACAGTCCATTCAAACATGACCCAATCTGGTCAATCCTCATAGTGACAGCAGAGACATCCTCAGTTCGAGCCACACTTAACAATCAATACTAACAGACCCGAATGGAATACCAATGCATCCCTGCACATCTCCCGCAAATTTCGCCGAACTTCCCTCACAGTTGTCCCCAGACCAGGTGGTGATCTTGCACTTGCTGTCGGCGGTATCGACGTCGAAAGACGCCCCGGGAAGGCTCATAAAGCAGGATTTTCCAGACCCTTCGATGGCAGGGTTGGCGGAGGAACCTTCGCAGTTGTTGCCGGACCAGGTGGTGATTTTGATGCTCTCGCTGCGGGTTGAGAGGGGAGTGGATTCGGCGGTGGTGGTGAGGGCCAGGACGCCCATGGCGGCGAGAGGGAGGAAGTGGTGGAGTTGCATCTTGCTTTTTTGGTTGGGATTTCTTTTTTGATAAAAAGATGTGAGGATGGATAAGTGGTTTGTTTGTGTGAGGCAGTGGAGTATGTAGATGATTGAGAGAGAAAGAGAGACTGAGCTGGATTGCTGTAGAGATGAAGAGCGAAGGAGACCGACTTTATACCTTCTTCTTCGATATTTCGCCCCATTCAGAAAACCAACTTTTTTCTGATACTCAGGGCAGTGCAAGGCAGAACATACCCGTCTATCCCAGGCGCAGTCATCGTGAACCCATTATGGTGGCTCATTTCACGTTTCAGTTGGATTCTTGGCCCCTCGAGGTGTAGATGTATGATATTTTCTGTATTGAGTATGTTGGTCCGTGAGAAGTGGAGTTTTGGCCCCAGTAGGGTAGATATGATGGGAGGCCTTAAGCTTTGGCCCCATGAAGCTTACTTGCCCCTTATCGTGAAGGAGACTGACGTATTTAGAATAGACTCGGGGCTATACGGGGAAGCAATATACTCGCTATTCTTTTGTGCTTCTCATTCCTAGGTGATGTTGTTTGTTTCACTGCTGTGTTCCATTGAGTGCGCATTAGTCGAAGAGACTATTGATTATTTCAAGGTGGTACTATCTCAAAATGCACATTGTACACGTATACGTTGACAAAATAAGTCTGTTGATTGTCAGTAATCACAATCAGCATGCAACATAAACAAGCTAAGCATAACACAAAGAGTACAATTGTTGGAAGGCGCTGTACATACGGACCGCGCTAGTCTAAATTGGGGTTGCGATGGGATCAGAAATTAGTGCGAAAGAGTCAGACTGGGGCTGTAAAAACAGCCCCGACGGTTTTAGAGAAACCTGCCCCTGAATGAGCTTATACACATGATCAATATTATTTCTGACACTAGATCAACTCTGCACGTGATTCATAGAATTCTAGAGAATTATCAGGAACTCTCTAACATATCTTATCTTTGCTAATAATCTCTGGTATAGTTACTATAGAGCTCAGTCATTGCAAAAGTAAAAAGACAATAAGAAGTAAAATCCGCGAGCATCCCAAAGGCCCCAAAGACAATAGAGAGAGCAGCTGATTCGGGTTCAGAAAATGTCAGAAGAGGTTATTCAGTGTCAGAACTAACATAGTCTGATACTAAACCATCTTTTCACGTGATTCAGATCATCCAGTATCAGAAATTTCTTGTTACTCTCGCACTAATTTGAGGCCGCCGCGAGTTGGACCCCCGCGAGTGAGACTTCTTCAGAGACGTCCCTGATTTAGAGTCTGTGATACGGAACGAACTTGAAAGATGACTATTTATGATACTAATTCAGCTCTGTGATCTGTATGTCATAATAAATTAAAAAATCTGATACTATGATAGTCACAACACTGAAAAAAACTTCGGTTCTTATACAATTGAAATGTGAGTTTACAACCAAAAAAACTGATTTGGGTTCATGTTAGTCTATACTGAAGCAGTTAAATCACGTGGACGAGCTCATTCAGTATTAGCTGCACTAAATCCTGAACTCGCCGCAGCTTGGACCTCTCAAGCAACCCTCTCCTGCATATACTGCTTGGTAAGCAACAGCATGCCCTGGAAATAACCAGTAGATTAATTTACGTTAAAGAACGCAACAACTACAACACAGAAAATAAGCACTAACACATTCAAACATCATCCCATCCACCAATTACCTTCACGGACATGACGACATCTGACAAATGTCTGATTTATCAGCAATAGCTAGCTACTCTATATTCCCTTCATGTATAGCTTCAACAACACTACAACAATTACAATCACATAAATAACACCCTCATCCCCTCTCAGCTTGACTCCAACCACATCTACATCCACACTCAACCTCCGCCTTCAAGAAAAATAAAGAAGAAAGAGAAACAATGCCCCTAACCTACCTTCTAACCGGCAGCACGGGCGGCCTGGGCTCCCTCGTCCTGGACTACTTCACCAGCCACTTCCCCCCGACACAAGAAACCACACACGGCGTATCATACGCCGCATCCTCCTCCAACCCATCCAACAGTAACCGCTTCACATCGAAAGGCATTCCCTTCCGCACCGTCAACTACGACGACCCCTCGACGCTCGACGTCGCTTTCAAAGACGTAGAGAACCTTTTCTTCGTGAGTACGAATACCTTTGACGTCGAGAAGCGCCGAAGACAACATTTGAATGTCGTGGAGGCGGCGAAGAGGAATGGTGTGAAACATGTACGTTCCCTAAACCTTATTTCCAGCTAAGATGGAATGAATAGTAATGATAATGGTGTGATAGGTATGGTACACCTCCCTCGCGTTTGGGGGACTCGGGTCCGATTCGAAGGCTGCGGTGCAGCAGGCGCATTATATGACGGAGGATATGTTGAGGGAGTATGTCCCCCCACCCTCTCTTCTTTCTCCTATTTTTTCTTGTGTTTCGGTGATATTGATAGTTAGTTGAAAGATCTGGGGTGAATTACACTTCCATCCGCGAAGGAATCTACACTGAAGCCTTCCCGCTCTTCATAAACTGGTATCCCCAATCGACGACGCTCTATCTGCCATCTTCGTCGGGGAAGATCGCGTTCACGCTCCGGTCGGAGTTGGCGGAAGCAACAGCCAAGTTGATGTTGAAGGGTGGTCATGATAGAGAGGTCGTGCTGTTGACTGCGTCGGAGCCTGTTTCTGCGCAGGATATAGTGGACGTTATTAATGATACGACTGACCGAGAGGTGAAGATCGAGATCGTCGATCCGGAGACGTATGTACGGATCAACGCGGAGAATGATATCGGGGGCAAAGCGGAGGGGTTCTTCCGGCAGCTGGTGGGGTGGTTTGAGAGTATTGAGAATGGCGAGGCTGGGTTTACGGATGGGTTGATGGGGGAGGTGTTGGGGAGGGAGCCGGTGACGCCGAGGGAGGCGGTTAGGGGGTTGTTGGAAGGGGAGAGGGATTATACGTGGCATCAGAATTATAGCAAGTAGTCATTCAGTCTTTTGTATTCTTTTTGTATATAATGAGGTTGCTAAGCTGGCAATGAACGCTTTTATGATATGTGGTGATATCTCTTCATCATACGCGGTTGTCTTCCTCTCGATCGTGTTGGGGATACCCTGTGTGTGTGTCGCGATACACTGTCGCTTCTCCGTCGCCCTCTTTCTCTATGACATCTTCCTCGTCGGCTCCCCAGGTCGCTTCGCGCATGAACGGACTGCGTCGGCGGATCTCGGGTCCCTTCCATACTAGCACTACTGGCACTACTGACAGTGCTAGCCCGATGAACCCCAGCAATGACCCGGCCCAGCCGTACCCCAGGTTCTGGAACAGCTCATAACTCGCCAGCGGCAGGAACGCGCCAAAGGAGTTCCTTCCCAGAGATGCGGCGGACAGAGCTGATGCAGCGTACTTCTCGTACGCATCTGTCAAGTAATTGACCACTGCCATGTAAATACTGTAGATGCCAATACCGGTGCAACCGATACCGAGAGTTGGTACGATCCAAGGCACAGAAGGAGTACTGGACCAGCCATACCAGAACAGCCCGCCTGCAAACATCAAGCTGCCAATGATACTAGTATACAACCGAGCCTCCGGAATAGGTTTTCCCGGCTTCTCTGTGTTGCGTCTCGCCGACTTCAGATACAGCATGTCCTGTAGAGGATTGACAAGAGTGCCGATCAGCGCACCCACGGAGATTGCCAGCTGAATGCACCCAGTTTGCAGAGTGTTCATGCCGTAGTTGGCGGAGAAGGTCTGGACGACGCTGCTGAAGAAGAGATACAGGATGCCCCAGGCAAAGGAGATCCAGAGAGTGAAGAAGGCAACGACAGGCTCGGTGAGGAGCATGCGTGTAGGCCGTTCGAAGGAGATCTGCATCAGACGCCATACGCTGGTGTTGTCTAGCTCGGCTTCAGCGTAGATGGGGCGCTGCTTTTCTTTGCGGAGCTTCTTGGCCCGACGGGCGAGAATCACGTCTGCGCGGGTCTCATACAGAATGAACCAGAAGATAGGAAGGAGACCTGTTAGGTAAATGATTTGAATGTAGAAGATCCAGCGCCACGGGGCAGTTTTGTGGATTGCTACGATGGCGGATCCAATGAATGGCCCCAGGGCAATTCCAACCACACTGGTAAACCCGAAGAGCGACATGGGGAGACTCCGCGCTTTGTCTCCGTACCAGACATCGCTGATGCTACCGCCGACGATGTTGATGGATACGGAGGAAGCACCACCGCCGAAAAACCGCGTTACTACGAGAGTGGCGAAGTTTTGGGCGAAGGCGGAGGGGAACAGCGAGATGATGAGGATGATGTAGGCGACAAAATAGCCGGGCATGCGACCGGAGGATTCAGTCAGGGGCACGAATATAAGAGGCCAAAAGGCCGCTCCCATGTTCCAAGATGTCGTGGCCCAGTAAAGGTTTGGAAATGGCGTGTTTTGGACGTGGAATCGTTCTTCCATCCAGTTGTTGCCGGAGCCGTATGAACCGGCCGGGATACCAGTGAGGATGGAGCTATACCTGTTAGCATTGCACCTTTGAAAGCAAGGCTAAGAGGGACATACATGAAACACACAGTAACCGTTAGAAGCCATTTGTAGGAAGTGCTCCAATTGAACCTGGTTCTGTTAGACTAGTGTCCTAACAACTTGCATACTTGACGCACGGATTGTCCGGATCATCCTTGCCATTCCAGGTATGGATCTCAAGGTCCTCCCTGTCACGCAGATCGTTGTGGCTGACTACCCCGACATGGGGGTCCCGGCGAAAGAACGATCGTACCCTGCAACGTCAGACTTAGTGGCTGTATTAACAGGGTCTGTTTGGCAATGATTGGCAGACTAACCGTCCCAGAAACGAATCATCGAATTCATTGGTGTGCACCGTGCTAGCGCGGCGCAGCGACGGGCGTGGCTCCTCGACAGGGGTGGCCATGACTATCTCTAAATTGATCCCTTGCAAGGTATCTGCTTGACAGATGCAGAGATGAAGTTGAGTAAAATAGGGTGCAGAGACCCTGCAGAACCTGCATCGGCCGGCGGCAACATGTCGTCATGACCGACCCGGCCCGAGCAACGTCCACGAAACTCGGAACACCAGGGGAATCCGACGCTTTGAGTGGTCAATACATGTCTATCCACATCTGTTTTGGAGTGGAATGAAAGGTGGAGGAGAGCTGATCGCCAAATTCTGTTAGGGCTTGGAATGAAGCAACCGGTTTCGGTCATGACATCATCACAGCGATGACTTCATCACTTCCGAACGAGCATATAAAGTTGTGCCTGTCGTCGTATCTCAACAACATCAACAACAACAAGAAACATCTACTGCATTTATTAAAGTCATTTTTACCCCAATCAACATGCCTATCCCCGTTCCCTCCGCCTCCAGCGTCCACGACCTCTTCAGCCTGAAGGGCAAGGTCGTCGTTATTACCGGCGCTTCCGGCCCTCGCGGCATGGGCATTGAAGCCGCGCGTGGCTGCGCCGAAATGGGCGCCAACATCGCCCTCACCTACTCTTCTCGTCCTCAGGGTGGTGAGAAGAATGCCGAAGAACTTCGCAACACCTACGGCGTCAAGGCCAAGGCTTACCAGTGCAACGTCGGTGACTGGAACAGCGTCAAGAAGTTCGTGGACGACGTGCTGGCCGAGTTTGGCCAGATTGACGCCTTCATTGCCAACGCTGGCAAGACGGCCAGCAGTGGTATCCTGGATGGCTCCGTTGAGGACTGGGAAGAGGTCATCCAGACGGATCTGACGGGTACCTTCCACTGCGCCAAGGCGGTGGGTCCGCACTTCAAGCAGCGCGGAACCGGCAGCTTCATCATCACCTCCAGTATGTCGGGTCACATTGCCAACTTCCCCCAGGAGCAGACTTCGTACAACGTTGCCAAGGCAGGCTGCATCCACATGGCCCGGTCATTGGCCAACGAGTGGAGGGACTTTGCCCGCGTGAACAGCATCTCGCCGGGTTACATCGACACGGGATTGTCAGACTTTGTGGAGAAGAAGACTCAGGATCTGTGGATGTCGATGATTCCCATGGGACGGAATGGTGATGCCAAGGAGCTGAAGGGTGCATATGTCTATCTCGCCAGTGATGCCAGCACATACACGACGGGTGCCGATTTGATCATTGACGGAGGATACACCGTGCGGTAAATTGACCGCGGTCGGGAAGAATAATAATGTTTATGACATGTATGTAATGAATATGAATGTTCAATTGTCTCAATTTCTTGGGTATTTTGTGTATCTTCTCGTATGGCTCAAAACGACCTGGCATGGCCGGCCAGGGTGGTGTAGCTCTCAGTCTATGGATACAACTGCGTCAGTGTGGATCTTTAGCTCGGACTCGGAGGGGCTGTGGGGTTGCAAGAACAAACAGCCACTCGTCTCTGCGGATCTCCACGGAGCGCCATTTTCCTGAAGATTCAGTCTGGGCCTGGTCTCGGACTGATTTGGTGAGGGGATTCTGCATCCGTTCGAACCTTATAATCCTGAGACGAGCTCCGGAGGCCTGGAGCCTTACGCTGTGGCTAATTCTTTGTTCTCCCCGGAGCATCCCAAGTATGTTCATTCCCATCTCACGCTGCCACTTGCACAGCCAAGATAGACGGATCGGGAGGAGACATGGTAGGGAATGATGAAGGTGACATGTAACTGAAATGGAAATTGATAAAGTTGAAGTCCAAACTCGTCAAAGCAAAAACAAACTGAGCAACACCACATCCGGTCAGGTGACATATCTACAATGAACAATAGCTGGAGAGAATCAAGGGACGCATACAAAACATGTCCAATTTAACTAATTTCAGAAGCTATGTGATCCTCAATCAAGCATGTCATAATCATGAGTCATTACCATCAACTCTTGCCCACCTTCGCATCGGCCACCTCCTCTGGATCATCCACCACCTCTGCCAGATGCATCCGCGGCAACGTCCTTGCCAGTCGCGGTGGGTCAAATACGCTCTTCGACTGCAGGAAGATTTCGTCAATCTCCTCCAGTGACCGACCATTCGTCTCCGGGAAGAAGAAGTACACGATCGGCACGATCGCTGCGTTCAACACCGCGAAGATGATGTAGTATTGGTATCCGATCGCATCGAAGCCCACCGGGGTCACTTCAGCTAGGAGGAAGTTGAAGGTCCACACGGCAGCTGTTGAAACTGCACTGATGGCCGCTCGCAGCTGCAGTGGTGCGACCTCCGTCGCGTATAGGAAGGTCAGTCCCGAGTATCCCACGGTGAAGATGAACTCGAACACGAAAAGGAACACCACCGCTACGACCAGCGCTGCGGTATCATCAGATCGAGATGTTGTTCCGGCTAGGATAGCCATCGAGGCGGACATGCCCACGGCACTCCACAGCATCAGAACTCGCCGACCGAGCCGATCAATTGTGAAGAAAGCGAGAAATCCGCCCAGTGGCTGAGTGAGGCCCATGGCAGCAGCCAGAATGCGTGCAGGTATGGCATCCAGGCCTAGGTATTGTTGGAAGATGGTTGTTGCGTAAAATGTGATGAGATTGATTCCGCACATCTGCTGGAACATCTGGCCTGCCGCAGCCAGCACCGTCCGATGGAAGAGTCGCTGTTCGCCCATGCTTAGCATGTCCTTCCATGATCCAGATCCCGAAAGTGCCAGCGACCGTTCAATGTCGCGCATAGCCAGGGTTATGCTTTCGTCGTTTGCGTCGACATCCGCCAGCGCAGCCAGGATTTCACGGGCCTCCTCGGTCCGATTTCGCTTTAACAGCCACCGGGGTGACTCTGGGAAGAATATGATGAAGGCCATCACCATTAGCGACAGGACGATCTGGAAGGCGAGCGGGAACCGCCACGACACGGAGTTACCCGTGACGAAGTAGAATCCGAAATCAATCCACAGCGATATTGTAATGCCCGCCCCAATGAAGATACCGTCTGTCACTACATGGGCGCCACGCTTGCCCGCTTGCGAGATCTCGGCCTGCCACACGGGCACGGTTGCAACATAGCCGCCCGTTCCCAGTCCAAGCACAACACGTGCCACGATGAATTGAGCCAATCCGAAAGACGTGGCCATCAGCAAGGCCCCAATTATCGATATGGCTGAGGTGATAAAGATCACCTTTTTCCGGCCGAGGAGATCGCCGAGGTAGATGCATGATAGTGATCCGAAAATGCCGCCGACGGTGTACAGAGCGACCACCGTACCTGTGGAATGTTAGAATGGGAGGCATTCATGAGTAGCGAGCAGTGTGCCTACCCTGAATGGTGGAGTTGTAGTGCTGCTGGGCCCCAGTGGTAGTCAAGGTGTTCATCTGGGGAAACGTCTCCGCAAACGACTCCAGTGTGAGGAGACCCCCCGTTACTCCCTGGTTGTATCCATAGCACACAAAGGCCGGGCAGACGACCAGCCAGATGATGGCGCGATTCAAAAGAGCGCCGCGTAGGCCGAAGTATGGTTGCATGGCTAAGACATGCAGTAGAAGATTCTATGCAACGATCGCGACATCAGCCAGGATGTCCCCGCATGTAATGATCAATTAGACTTGGCTCACGCCGTTGAACCCTGGTCTCCGGTGCGGACATTTTATAAAAAGGCGTCCAAGCATTTGCATATGGGTCGGTCATCGGCGGCGCCCGTCTGTCGCGTGGACTTGGGCATTTCGGACTAGAATAGGATTCCTGTAACCGAAGCAGTGCCAAAGCCAAAGGATCGCAAGAGAACAGGCATCGATCGCCAAGCTGGCAGGCGTGTGTCTTCCCCGCTGGACGATTTGAGATCGTCGTTGGACTTTTCTCCACCTGCCGGCTGCCCTTCCATCGGATCCGGCCGATGGGGTTGTTGGACCTCGGGTCAACAGCCAGTCGGGAGTCACTGGGCCGCCAAGACACCCCCAGAAGCCTCATTGAATTTGGTAATGGCCAGCGTGGGAGATAAATAGATAAAGAGACGCTGGTGGTGCCCCATAATTGAGATAACAATGCTTTTTGATGTTGCTGTTGTCCGATATCGCAAGAAAGAGCTGGGGGTGAAGCAGCTAGGAGCATCCCGATCGTGTCTAATTAGGCGATGTAAGCAGAACGCAACTCATATCTCAATCAGTAACGGTGTAGCATGTTTGTCAATCATCCCAATCCGTGACAGCGAAGCTTAGGCAATTGCAGCCCACGTCTGGCTTGGCCAACGCAATCTGCATTGAGATCTGCGAACGGCACGGATACGATGCCCTGTTCAAACAAGTTAGCTGCTTTTCGACCACTGAGCGTCTGTACGGATGACTGACTGAACCTTCTTCCCCCGACCTCGGCTATTTTGAGAATATCGCCAGGTTCCGACTAGCGTGCATGCCAATCGCCAGGTCTTTTGAGATGTCTATCTGACATAGGATGCCAGGATGGGGGGTGCCTCATTAATATAAGATATCAGGGGCTGTCTTTATCTCCAGCTTTATATGGCCATTCCATATCAGTTTGAAGATATCGCTCAGGGCTGTTATTGGTGCTCTGATAACAATTCCGCCTAACGGGATAAGGAATCCTCCGTCCTGTGCAAAGGGCGATACGGGATCGTCAACAGACGGCATGTGTGATAGACAACGCGGAGAAAGTCAATCCCACGCGATTGGTCATGGTTTCTTAACAACTTGGTTTGTCTGGTTGAAATATCGCATGTAGCACATGAGGGGTTATAAATCTTTGGGTCAAGTGACCAAAGTTGAGTCGCCGTCAGCTTAGGTGTGTTGTGCTGGCAGGTTTGATGCCAAGAGTGCGTTCCTGGACCAAAGGAAGTGGGGTAAACGGGGAAGGAAGATAGAGTGTAGAGGTAAATATAAATGGCGTAAGTCTCTTTTATAGTAGTTGGTCATGGGATTGCACGCGACCGATGGCATTGCGTCGCGGTCATTGCTTTGCAGCAGTTCATGTGCCAGGAGGCTCGATATCAGTGACCACCAGTCCTGATGTGGTAGTCATCTGCCGACTCTGGGGTATTGACGGGGGTATTCCTGTTATAGCATTAGCGGCCTGCAGGCTTAGAAGAATCCCTAGGCACTGGCTTGGGTTTGAGGCTGATTTTCTCTCCATTAAACTTGTTTCAGACAAATACTTCCATCCTGATTCACTTATCAGTGACTCGAGAGCACAGCATTTGGAGTATTGCGGTGTGTGTATAAATGGTATGGAAGCCGGATATATATATTAAGTAGTTATAAGCCATTTAACAGGAGGAGTAAGTTGATATTAGAGGCAGCTCACTTACTTGACAAAGCTCTAAATACAATATGTATGATCAAAACCAGTAGTTTGCAAAGGTGCGAAGGGGGAGTACCAATGCAGCTGCTATAGATGACTATTTTGTTGTAGTATAATGCCGAGACTCAAGCCATGAGCAACTCTTGAGAACTGTGGAAAGGTTTTGGAACATTCATGTTGTGCTAAGATATATTGCAAAGGTACAGTGCAACAAATATCAACTGGGTCCCATAGCTCAGTTGGTTAGAGCGTGACGCTAATAACGTCAAAGTCGAGGGTTCGAGCCCCTCTGGGACCATTTTTTCGGTTTTTGTTTTTCTTCCGTGTGCCCCGAGCATCTATCTCTGCACCGGCATGCTTGGCACATGAGTGGGGTACCTGGCTGCAAGAAGCCAAGAACAACTTTTTGTTTATGATGTCATTGCTTTGTGTTTCTACACTCCAAATCCCTCATACCATGGTAGGCCGCTACAGATTATCCCCCTTGTTTCACCTATTATAAATCGTTTACTGTTATTAGAAGAAAAATTTTTATTGATATATATAGCGCTAACATGCATAATGTCCATTCTCACTGTTGGAAATCAGCCAGCCTTCCAATGAATAGCTAAAACAAATACCCCTAATATCTTCCTTCCTTCACACGCAACTAACATTAAAGCACAATCAAACCCCTATCATACACGCATCAAACCCCATAACCCCAAGGAATGTAGTAGGCCCTACTTAATATCAATCACCTTCCTCTCCTCCTCCACCTCTCCCCCAACCTTTGGCACCTGAATCGACAACACACCATCCGTCAACTTCGCATCCACATGCTCCCGATCCACCTTGGCCGGGAAACTAAACGAGCGACGGAACTCCCCCATCGTGCGCTCGGAGAACCACCAGTTCCCATCCTCACCCTCCGTGCTGCGCACACTGCGACCCCTGACATTCATTGTGCTGGGGTCAGTGAACTCGATCGTGACGTCTTCTTTCTTGACGCCAGGCAGGTCGCCATCTAGGATATATGCGTCTTTGGTTTCGCGGAGGTCAAAGCGCGGGGAGTTTGCGAATAGAGAATCTGTAGCGGTGGATGTAGTGAGGTAGTTATCTAGGTCTGTGAAGGCACGGAGGAGAGAGGGGACGGGACGAGGGTGGTGTGGCAGGAGGGACATTGTTCGAGGTGTTGTTGTTTGTAAATTTCGTAGATGGTGGATTGGGTATTTCGTGATGGGTGGGGTTGTTCTGAGGAGGTGGGTGGTTTGTTTGAGCATTGTTGGTGTGTTTGTGGTGATAGTTGTTGCTTGGCGATGAGATGAATTTTATATTATTGTATGCAGTGGAACATGGAACGTGGAGGATAGATGGATGAGGTGGTCGGGGGAGATGCTGTCATTTGTACGCGGGTGGCTCGCGCGGGGTCTTTTCGAATAGAAGCTCCTAGAGAGAGCATGCACCTTCCTTTGCTTTCTGACATGCATCAAGAGATGGGTCTTGAAGATGGGTCCCAAACTAAGTGGAAATCCGGGGATGCGTGGGGTTGGAAGGCAAGGTGGTTTTGGAGGGTGCCGTTCCATGGGTGAGGTTTACCGCGCCTGGATATCTATGCCGGGTGGCATGATGGTAGGGCTTGTGACTGTCGTATCCAGAAGATTCTGGTGCGAGACAGTGAACAAGTGGATATTTCTAAGAGTCATAGGACGTACGTGGAGTGGATATTACTTAGGAAAGATGGAGGTACAGCGCCGAACACAACGTCAAATCAACCAATCCTCATCGCCGCCTCCGCCAAACTCACACTGCCCAGTTCTTGATTTCGGATTACACTGACCAGATAGTTCACCCCATAGTCTGACGCCGCATGCACTACCACATTTTCACCAAATCCACAATCCCGTTCCCCCTCTCCGGCCTCCACATACGCCGCATAACTGCCCTTCAGAATGCCATCTTTCTCCGACAACAAGACTCCCTTCGCGTACTCCCTTGCTTGCATGTAATCCGTAAATGTGCCCTGCACTATCACCTCCCGCACTGTGCTTTCCCCCTCGATGGCATCATATTCTACATTTGCCTGCACGACGTAAAATAGCGGGATAGAGATGCGGCCATCGTCGAGATCGGTGGTGAGCTGGAGCTTGTTTTGTGTGGTATCGATGCGGACGCGGAAGGTGGTGCCGTCTGGCGCAACGGCGTAAATGGCGAGTCCTGTGCGATCGGGCAGGTTCTCTTGTTCGAAAATGTGGGCGCTGGTTTCATAGGTTGGAAAGAAGTCACGCTCGTAGCCGGCGTCGTAGAGACAGCTGTGCGCCGCGGCTTTGGCGGCGAGTAGACTGGTGTAAGTTCCAGGAATACGGAGGATTTCGACGAGATTGTTGGGGTTCTTGTTGAGACGAGTGATGGTTAAGAGGACGTGATAGAGGTGTTCAGGAATTTTGGGAGGCATTGTGGGATCTTTGGCTGTTGAAAGGTGCAGTATTGAGAAATCAATCAAATAGTTATAGTTGGTTTGAGATGTAGGGACCACAGAGGGTCGAAGATCATTCCTGGGCCTGTCATGCTTTTAGATTATTTGGAGAGGCCTAGACGTGGCTATAGAAAGTCTAATTAGCGTGGTGCGTCTAGCTACTGATATCGGAGATCTTCCTCCATCTGCCTGAGACGAGGATCTTACCATGTGGCCTGACTGTTCTGCATACTGTAAATGCCCAATAACAGGCTCCTACTCCATTGACAGCTGGAAATGAGCGCGTCACTATGACCACTCTGGCTTACTGCCATGATTAGTGGGATCAGAAACCAAAAGTTTATTTGTGATGTTCCCCTGGAAGCACAAGGCAGAAGGTACCCGGCTGGCTTTATTTCATGGTCGGCCCATGCTCCACCCCCCCAGAGAACCCTCTCCCCCCGCATTTCCTCTTTCCTCTTTCTTTCAACATCCTCGTGAGATTTCTCTGGATTCGGCATTCATTCGGCCGCAAGACCATGTCCCTCGGGCCTGTTATATTGATGGACCTCCCTATGGAACGATATATCCCTCGCTCTCATCCCCTTGAAGACACCTTGAGCAATTCGTACTACACAGGGTAGAGATCCCAGAAGGGGAGCAAGCAAGAACAATGTCAGAGTCAGGCGCGGAACAGACTCCATACCCAGAACCAGGAGAACCACCAGTTCCCGACAAAGCTCTTCAACTCCAAATTCTTCTCATCTTGTGTCTGAGCGTGTACATAATCACTGCGATCTGGTATAATTCCAGCTTCTACCTCGCTCCTCCTATCTGATAGAAGCTGTACTAAAATTGGATAACATGGTGCTATAGTCTTCTTCTGAAATCTTACTGTATTGCCTACGGCACTCTCGACTTCACCTCTACGCCTGCCACAACCCCGGACCATACAGCCGCATGGAATTCTCTCCAGCGCCTGAAATCCCTTAACCGCGTCGCGCCCCTCAAGCGTTATGATTCGTGGTATACCTCCACTGTCTGTCATGAACGGAGTCCGTTATTAAGTAGGGATTGGGAAAGTAGCATCTGGTTGGTTCATTCTTCGCATTCAATCCCTGACTATTGTTGTGATTGGACGTGACTCTATTCAAGCAGACACTAACAGATATTATGTTTGTAAATATAGTGCAATATGCCTCGAAACTGTGAACAAAGCAGATGTCATACATGCGTTGCCCTGTAAGCATGTCTTTCATCGACAGTGCCTTGAGACCTGGTTTCTCGAGTATCACAATGCGTGTCCCGTTTGCTGGCGGGTGTTTTTCGCTTGACCTTTACCGAGCACTGGCTGTGATCATGAAATTTGCTTGATGGACTATCCACAGGTTGGCCGACCTGTATCGTATCATATATTGTCGGGCGTGTGCATAGGCATCATGGTGTATTTGCATTCAGTTATAGTAGCTGAACTGGGTAAAGCACTGTATGAAACCAGTCGCAGCATAAAATGAATCCATCATGCAAAAGGTATTTGTAAATGAAGTTAGTCGAGTCCAGGTATACTCGTAGCTACCTCCAAGACCTAGATACTAACTACCTCTGTTGAAGAGCCGATGATAGGAAGCCTCACGCAGGCGATAATATGTAAGCAATGTATGTCTTATTGAAAAGACAACGTGACCTTAGCTCCCAATCCTCACTTATCCCGCTTTTACTCCTCCACCCCCTTCGAGAACTACATCTCACCCAGCGCGCCCTCTGCTCTCAACAGCGTCGTTTGCTTTTAGTTGGCGACTATCTTGCCACCCTGGAACATATGATCAGATGATGGAAGATTCCCAGCGTTGCTAGCGTTCCGCGCAGATAGCAACTCATTACTGCCATTTCGCGAAAAGTTGTTAGTCCGTATGTGCGGTTCGTTTGGCGCTTGTATGGTGGTAAGATTCCTAACTCTTCATAATGCCCGGATAACCGCTTATTAAAGCCGATGTAAATAGGACAATACTCTTTCCGCTCCTAGGACGATGACGGACGGCTGCATTATTTCGATGCCAGGAGGATTTCCTGTTGCGAATGCTCGACATAGATTGCTTCTACAACCTGACGGGAGGAGCGATAGAGCGAAGCCGCTATCCGGTGGGCAATTTATGAAGAGCGTAATAAGCGGGTCAATATAGTTCACCTGCACTGTAGGGGAATCAAGGGGCGCCGTTTGCCTTTAGTGTACCAGCCTCAGACATGACCTTTTTGCGCCAGAATTACCGTGTATCCTGTCCGAGGAATGGATTCATCGAAGGTATGTTAATATTTGCGCTCGATAGCATCACATAGATATTGAGAATACCATGTTAACGCTGCTGCAGGTGAAAAGTTCTGCCCAAGCTGTATCGAGAGACAAAACTTGATTGTGTCCTTCCTACAACGAACCGCCCCCTATTCACTGCGTGGCCAGTGTTGTCCGCCGGATTTGCTCACCGTTGGCCAATGGCTTCCTCCTTTCCTGTCTTCTCCTTCCTCTTCTTGACTGGCCCCACTCCAGGTTGCTTATTGCCGGCAAGCTTTCAACCCTGATTAGCGAAGCTTTGCGCACTATTCCTGATCTAGCTGCCGAAGGAACGGATGGATGCTGTACTAGTTTCATGTCGAATCTCTGATATTATTATTAACTACAGACTAGCCGATCAAGCTCTGGATCGGGCACAGAGTGATTTTATGAGCCATTCATTGGTGGAATTTGCAAGGCACCATCAACGCCGCAGACCCTGCATATCGAGTTACAGCCTTACTGGGATTAGTATAGTTGCAATCTCGTACTCGTACCCTGCAGAACCAGCTTGGAACCTAAGGGCCTAAGATGGCACCCGCTTCCTCCAGGACTGACGGCTGCTTGTGCAGGCAAGTAATAGTGTTGCTTGCTTATGTACCGAGCCGGCGGTATATATGAGCGTTTCTCCGTCTTTTCACCTGCGACAATAGGTCCAATTTTGTGTTCTTTCATCGATATGCGAACCTGTTCGGTAACCCGCGGACCCCGTCGGCTGATCAGCCACCACGGCTCGTATAAATTAAATGCCCACCATACAGAACTTGAGTTCATTAAAAAAGAAGGTAACGTTTGAGACAACATCTTAATATGAAACGAGGACCCTGGACCAGCATCTCTCCAGGGGCTGTCGGCAGTTATGACTTTCCGATCAGAAGGCATTAGCTGAAGTTGCGACTATAAGAACCTCATGCCTGCTGATGCTGAGGTTCGTTGGCTCATCATTCTACATTCATTTGAGATCAGACCTATTACACTCTTTCTGTCGTTTTTCCTATCACTATCGTTGATCATGCACTCCTTTGCTTCTCTTTTCGCCTACGGCCTAGCCGCCGGCGCCACCCTCGCTTCTGCCTCTCCCATCGAAGCTCGGGGCAGCTGCACCTTCACCACGGCTGCTGCTGCCAAAGCGGGCAAGGCGAAGTGCTCTACCATCACCCTTGACAACATCGAAGTGCCCGCTGGAACCACCCTGGACCTGACCGGTCTCACCAGCGGTACCAAGGTCATCTTCGAGGGCACCACGACCTTCGGGTATGAAGAATGGGCAGGCCCCTTAATCTCCATGAGTGGCAAAGACATCACTGTTACTGGTGCCTCAGGCCATCTCATCAACTGCGACGGTTCACGGTGGTGGGACGGTAAGGGGACCAGCGGAAAGACGAAGCCCAAGTTCTTCTACGCCCATGGCCTTGACTCCTCGTCCATTACTGGATTGAATATCAAGAACACCCCCCTTATGGCGTTTAGTGTTGAGGCGGATGACATCACCCTGACTGACATTACCATCAACAATGCGGACGGTGATAGCCTGGGTGGACACAACACTGATGCATTTGATGTTGGTAACTCCGTCGGTGTGAATATCATCAAACCGTGGGTCCATAACCAGGATGACTGTCTTGCGATCAACTCTGGCGAGGTAAGCATCTTTGCACATATATTTGATTTGCATGTATGTATGTTGATATTCTATAGAACATCTGGTTTACCGGCGGCACCTGCATTGGCGGCCACGGTCTCTCCATCGGCTCTGTCGGCGACCGCTCCAACAACGTCGTCAAGAACGTCACCATCGAGCACTCCACCGTGAGCAACTCCGAGAACGCCGTCCGAATTAAGACCATCTCTGGTGCTACAGGTTCCGTCTCTGAGATCACATACTCCAACATTGTCATGTCCGGCATCTCCGATTACGGCGTCGTTATCCAGCAGGATTACGAGGATGGTAAGCCTACGGGAAAGCCCACAAACGGTGTCACTATTAAGGACGTGAAGTTGGAGAGCGTTACGGGTACTGTGGATAGTAAGGCTACTGATATCTATCTTCTTTGCGGATCTGGTAGCTGCTCGGACTGGACTTGGGACGATGTGAAGGTCACCGGGGGAAAGAAGTCTAGCGCTTGCAAGAACTACCCTTCGGTGGCTTCTTGCTAGGTTAGTAGGCAGCACCTGCTAACATTCATTTGCTTTGAGGGGTCAAATAGATTTTGGTTTAAAAGTTGTGGAGAAGAGATAGCGTCTAGTAAGCTTCAGTGGTGGCAGCGTATATAGCTATTTACAATGTTAATTATCGCATGTTTTTATAGATCAAATACTCAGTTAAAACGGTTCGCCCTCAGCCACAGATAACCAAGCCTATCGGCAAGTACTAGGCCCCGGGAACCACTGCCTGGCCTGGATTCTTTGCAGATAGTTCTTTTGGTAAATCAGGATGGTATGTAAGTTAACGATGCAACCAAATTCACCGCTACTCCAACCCGCGCATAAAGCATACGCCAGAAGTGCAAGGGATAGAAGATAGCCAGCTCTGTCTTTGCGCAAGTAACTCTGCATAATCCAGTTTCTGACATAGAATAGTTAGTCATCTCTTCTACACCTTCGCAAACTCCCTCTCCATAAACTCCCTCACAGTAATAAGCGTCTCCCTCCCCTTCTCCCCCTTGGCCCTAAACGCCGCCTTCTTCAACACGGCAGCAGTCTGAATCTCCGTAGGCCCATTACCGAAGTACTCCCCATCCCTAAACTGCGAATAGATAAAAACATCCCGTTCTTGCTCCCTCCAATACTCCCCTTTCGTATTCATGTCGTTCGGGTCCGCCAGAACCTCATACCGGGCTTTCTTGCCAGTCACTATACCCATCACCGTCAGCAACCATCTTTCCCCAGATAAAGAACAATAATAGAAAAACCTTACCAGCGACAAACGTATTCACCACCTCCGCTGACGAAACAATATCACTCGACCCCTGAATCAGCCGTCTATTCCACCGCAACGGATTAACAAAAACCCCATGAACCAAATCCCCAAAGTCATCTTTCATACTGATCCAGGGGAAATCTTCTTTCCCGCCCCAGAAGGGCGTCTTGTATGTTAGATAACCCTCAGAATCGGGAAATGTGGGCCATCCGCCGAATAAGTCGGCGTAGTCTGGCTCGAGCCAGTTCTCCATGAACCACGCGGCGACGATGGGGGTTACGGTTTTGAAGCCTTTCGTGGTGTAGGCAAGTCGTTCGACTTGGATTTTCACTGTATTCTCAATTATCAGTCTAGTCAATGGAGATATAAATTGGTTTGTGGATACTCACGATCAAGACCGGGACATTTCACTGCCCCATTGGTCATTTCCGATATCGCAAGACCAGAGCTATACACTAGATGCTGCACGCCGGATAAGGCCGCGCATTCGATGATGTTGCTGCCTAGGTCGGCGTCATTGAGGCCTTTGGCTTCTAGTTCCTAACATGTATTCAGGTAAATACTATTTATTGCCTTACATAGGTAAGTAGAGGTAGGGGACTAACCGGATCCTCCGAATTGGTATTCACAAACGCCCCCCAACTACCCGAAAACGCCTGCTGAAGTTCCTGTCGGTTGAACCCATCGGCCTTGACTAGCTCTGCGCCTAGGGAAGCCAGTTCTTTGGCTTTGCTTGAAGATGGGTTCCTAGTTATGGCGCGGACGTAAAAGGTAGGGTTTTGTACGAGAGAGCGCACGACGGAGCTGCCTTGGCGGCCTGGGTGGGTATATGTTTAGTTGTGGGTATGGAGGTGAGGAGGGTAACGGGGGGTGAAGTACCGGTTGCACCGAAGACGGTGATGGTTTTGGTTTCGATTGTCATGGTTGAGTGGGTTGAGTTGTTGGGTTCTACGATGGGAAAGTATTTTGGCACTGGGGATAGTTACTACTATATGAGATGTATATATCTGTCTCATTAATTTACTAGATGGGTGGTGACGTTGCAGATGTCCATTGAGCCCGGACTTTCACCGCTCCTGCTTGGTGCATACTTCTAGATTGTTGGATTGTCTCATATACAGTCTGGCCAGTCCAGTGATTCCGCATTGGAAGTCCATGTAAATGCGGATAAAGCATGGAAATCTATCATCATATGACAATGTGCCTATTAAGCGAGGGGGACTGACAAGCCTGCTCGACTTACCTACCAGGCGCAGCAGTCTGGACAGTCAGACGCGCAAAATCGGGTATAGTTTCTTGCGTGGCAAGCAAACCAAACCTAACCTCCTTGCATGAGAGTGGAGCGTAGATCATAGGATGTATCGTGTGGCTATGTCTGCAGAGTGCCGCCACCTAACAAATTATCCTTAAGGCGAAATCTCGCTGTCTGTGCATCCAGCTGAATTGCGTACTAGAAAAGATTTGATGGTGGTATATTCCCAATAATGTACATTAATTGCCTTTATGACCGATAATTCGCTCCATCTATATACACAATTATGGATAATAACTCTCAAAAAAAAAACTAGACCACGCATTAAATCGCTCAATATGTATGTCAAAAAAAATAATGTAACAAATATAAGTGTTTCGCAATGGACAGTCGGTATCCAAGTATGGTTTAAAAAAAAGGGGGAAAGAGAAGAAATCGACGTGCTTCACCCATCGTAAAACATTCCGCACAACACCACGAGCAGAGAGCAAGGTTAGGCTATTGTCCCACTGCTTGGTAACCACGACGATTCGTCCAGTCGCTTTGTCTCCATTGCTTTTTGTACGTTTCCATCTCGGTCGGGTCCGCCGCAGCACCCTGACCTTCACCAAGAGCGCGCTCAAGACGACCTTGGCGACGCTGGCGCAGGAAGTAAAGGACAAAGCCGGCGATACAGAGGGCGGCAAAGGCAGCGGCACCGCAGTAGACGCCAATGTGGGCGGCTGTGCCCAGTTTGTCCCATTTCTGGGCAAGCGTCTCGGCAGGTTTCTTCGCAATTTCTTTGGCGGCAGTGGAGTTTCCACTATAGACAAGAGCAGTTAGATGAATAGCCCTTCACCTAGCTGACGGGTATCAACGAAACAGGACTTACCTGACAATCTCAATACTTTCGTAAGAGCCATTGTGACCGATGTATTTATACTCCTTGCCCGAGGAAAAGTCCTGGACACGGATCTTCTGCACCGTCATTGTGAAGGGGACGTTGGACCAATTGACCAAACCACCACCCCATTCGATGTTCCCTATCGACTCCGACGCAATACCCACAGGCCAGTTGCTGACCTTGACTCTGCACGGCGTTTGGGGGTAGTTCTTGCCATAGACAGTGAGAGGTTCAGAGTAGTTGACCGTGCGCCTCAATTCGCCATCAATCCACCACTCCAGACGATCCTTGTCCCAGTAAGTAGTGTAGTTGTGGAACTCGGTATCCGCGTTCGATACAGCGTGGTAGCCACCACGATCACTTGTCGTTGTGTTTCCCTTTCCGAAGAAGTCTGATTGCACCTCGCTGGTGTTGTATCCCACCCATTCCCAATCGATCTCGTCCAGGTCATCGGATTGCAGGATCACGCTGCTGATGATACCTGCACCCTTGGCCATCTTGACATGCGCCTCCATCACACCGAAAAAGATGTAAAAGTTCGACACCAATAAGGTGGAGGCGTTCTCCGTCTTGATGCTGAATTCTGCTCCATCCGAAGTGTACTCTATCTCCCCCGTCTGCATATCCCAAAGCTTGTCATCTAAGGTCTGGTTGAACCACCATGTGTGCTCTGTGGACAGCGCCGCGTCGGCGGGGCATGTGCTGTTGATGGGGTCGCAATCGGTTTCATCGGCGGCCACCAGGCCGGCTAGCGCTCCCAGGAGCCAGGCATGGCGAAGATAGAACATGACGGCGGATTTGTGAGGAGGGCGTGGTAATCGAATCGGTGGTCAGAGTCTGGGGTGACCCGACTCAGGTGGTGGTGGGTTTAGGTGCGGGATGGGTATGGGCGGGTTCGTGGCTGTCCTGGGGGAGGGATGACAGGAATGGTTTCAGGTTCATGGCTCGTGGCGGGCAGGAAGGAGAAGGAGCCCATTGACGGAGTTATAGCGCTGGAGATAAAAAAAAGTGCCTCTTTGGCTTCTAGCGAGCAAGCTATCGATAGCACAGAAGCAAAGATGGTGGCAGCCAATCAAGGAGCGAGTCGGCACTTAGTCCCCGAGGCATCGGCGGGGGCTAATCCCACTATAGGCAGCTTTCAGGGGCAAGGGCCCAAACCCAACTTTTAAAAATAGGGGCAATCTGCCATTTGTCCCTGAAAAAGGGACACCAGACGGTGTCTCTCGTCGAGCCTGGTTATTGGTAGCCACGATAAACTCCACCTGGGTCTTTTTTTTTACCCATGAAAACTGGTTTTTGCTCGTGTCGTGGAGGAGGAAGATTTTTCCTCTCGCCTTTGCTCAGGAGACAGCTGAGCGGTTGGTCCGAGCCATCCGACAGTAATGCTGTTGCAAGCGAGTTGGGAATCTGCTGATATGCAGTCGAACGATCCAATGAAAGCAGCACAACTCCATCGCAGCAAGATTACAGGAGTTCGCAATTAAACTTGGGGGTCTAATGACAACTGGCTGTTGAGGGTTATTCGGGCCAGCAACTTCTTCCCCGGGGATGGTTGCCGATTCGAGTTATCAGGATCCACACAACCAGCCCCTATTCGGACTAGCAAGCAAAACATTTTCCGGCGCCATTCCCAGACAGGAAGTTGAAATTCCCGATTAGTCAGAGCTTGGCAGGCTAGTGCGCAAAGCTTGACCGGGATAGGGTTAGTCGATCTGCCACTTTCCGGGAAGCTGCTTTGATAGGGTCGGATCTAATTTGGTTGATTGTAATTGTTGGCTCTCCAGGGGCTGCATGGAAATTTGGGAGCCTGATCCAAAGGCTTGTCTCTCAAATTGAAGCGCTGTCAGCCTACAGTTCTTGCACAAGCATGTGCCAGAAGGCTTGGCCCTTCTGGAACGTCGAGGTGGTGAAACATCCGCTCTTGGAGGCAGGTTGTATTATCGCCGTAATAACTTCTTTATATGTCCATATTGAGAGGGCGTTCCTATCGATTAGTCTACTATAAATATGTTCGAAGTAGCCGTTAGGTACCTGTAGATCGAGAAGGTGTCACTAACCATTGCAGTACTCCACAAATACGAAAACGATGTCTTGGAATTAAT